TCAACCATAGATCTCAATGGTAATTATTCAGCACTTTGTGTCCTGAGTGACTAGAGCTCATGTGCTGTCCTCTACACAAGTAGTTTCTGTCTCACAGTAGATACATGGGATGGAGTTTGATTTATGAAAGACAATATTAGTTGCCAGTTTTTTATGTAAACAAGAGCTACTCTGAAAATACATTTCAAACATCTTTTTTTGCACTATAGTGACAGCTGATATTTCTGGAAACACTTTGTAGACAAATTCAGGATTTTGAAATGTCTTAGAAATGTAAATTCTTGCTGCTTGGAACCTAACACAGTGGACTTGATCTTAAACAGAAAAGCAATGTGAAGAAGGAAACAGCTTTCAGCAAAGCAGACTCAGTCATGTGGAAGTTCCCCTGGAGACTAACCAAACTCTGTCAAAAAGCTCCCAGTTCTTTGCCTTACTCTAAGCAGGTCCTTCAATTTTCGAATAGTAAAGAATTTGAAGGAGTCTTCTCTTTCAGTTCTCCTCAAGTTCTCACTTTAGCCTTGCTATAAATAGGCAGGGACACAGTTTTTCAGTTCTACTATAGGCTTCTAGAGGATTTTTCAGCATCATCATGTTTATTTTCTTGTGCAATGCAGGATGGGAATAGATTTATATATTTATTTAAACAAGAATTAGACAAAAACTATTTGAATTTTGCAGTAAAAAAAAGGTTTACTGAGAAGCTGTTTTGCTTAGCTTTCTGTGACAGTTTAGACCTTCCCTGACTCACATCACAAATTGGCTGAAATAGTATCTCCTCAGAAAGGGAGTGTTAGCAGTATGTTACAGAAAGGAAGGAAGGAAGCTGTGTGCCTGTCAGTCCCTGCACCTGATGGCCCTGCCCCAGGACCCACTGCAGAAAGCGCTCAGAGTTGGTTCCCCAAAACACAAGGGACGCTCAGAAAGGCTCTTTTCCTACCAACAGAGAAAGACACTGAGTGTGCTTTGGAAACAAACATCTCCATCCTTCATCAGGACGGCTTAATGCTTACACCCAGAGCTTCCTCCTCAGCTCTGCAGGCTCTGTTCAGGCAGGTGAACTCACTTCACTGTCCTTTTTCTACATTAACTTTGCTGCAGACACAAGTTTTGCAAAAGCAACAAGTGTTAAGAGCTATTAATTGGCAACACAAAGAGGACTCCAATGAACCCATTTGTATAGCTATCCCTAAAATGTATAGTGAGGAAGAAAAAAAACAACAAACCTCAAACATTTTTCAAGTCTTCAGTGTTACTCTGTTTGCATGGAAAGTTTAAATTCAACTGATTGCCCCTGGGGTAGCAGTATTGATCAAGTAATTCAGACACAAGAGCACTAACAGCAAATCACAGGGGTGGCAGAAATAACAATACTGCTCAACTTTATTCATCAACCTTCCTGGACTTTTCTCTTAAACCACTGTTGGGGTTTCATGCTTAATAGGAAGCAGCATCAGTAAAAATTCAGGTTGAGGACAACAAGAAAAGATGGTTATGATGAAAATTGCATTTGAAAACCTTCTCTCTTAACGTCAGTGTGGATTTTTGCATTAAATAATACGAGAGGCTTAGGGCAACAATGTAGTGGCATCAATGGCTAATGTAGTAGGACACACTCCTATGTAATTGCCTCCTGTCATTTCTGCAATGCCTGTGGGATATTGTGAAGAGACAGAGCCCAGTTTACAACCCCATGACAACGGATCTTCTCAAACTTGGAGGTAATTTTTCTTTTTGAATGAATTGTCAAACTCCATTGTATTAACAAATATACCTGGAGGTGTATCACTTTTGGTCGGGAAAAGGAAAAAGGGGCCTCCTGCCAATAGTTTACAGCACTTAGGAAAGAACAGTAGCAAAAAGAGAAAGCCATGCCCTGGGACAATACTTTTGGCTGGTGTGAACAGAATTCAGCTATCAAGTAAGAGGATTTTCTCCAATGGAATTGGTATAATTGCTCCCCCTCGTTTACATTTGTTGAGTTTGGCCTGTGACTGTTCTGAGGAAAGTAAGCACTCAGAGAGAGAAGTGACGTGGAGAAAACAAAAAAGAGCAAACACTATTACAACAAGGTATTAAACAGCTCTGAAAGGCCAAGAGAAAACAGACCTCAAGAGCATCACTGAAAGCCTCATGTTTAAAATAAATACTTTCAGTGCTATAAAAGACATTTCTGCCACTGAGTACACAGGGAGAGGCCATAATGAAAGTGAATCATTTTAAGTTATTGAGTGATTCCAGGAAACATTTCAGATCTGTTAAACATTAGTAAAAAGATAAATGATACCAGGAATTGTATTTCTCAAAAACTTGTATCTGTATAAAGAACGTGTTTATACAACTGGACACTGTTATTTTCATCCTCTCTTGCCATACTTTGCTTTTCTATTACCTTTCCAACCAGAGCACTAAGTGTTGCACACATCTTTATCCATCACTGCCAGGTCCGTATGCTATCTGGTTTTCTGTCAGCAGCAATGGATCCAGATCTGTACAACACTCGTCATAGCAAAGCATACACCCAGGAATACCCTGCTATGGTCTTGCCAACACTCTCACAGCACACCCTGTGCCATTTCATCTTTTGTGGTTCAGCTCATCAGGCCAGCCCCTGCCATTCAGCCAAGGATTGCCACTGTTGTGGAACTGTCAAACAACCTCAAACTCACAATTCCTGTCACTTACAAGCAGCCATAAGTCTCTCTCAGACTGTGCTGTACACACAGTAGGAAGCATTTTCAAACTCAACAGACAGAAGAGGAGACAGGAAAAGACAGGAAAAGACAGGAAAAGACAGGAAAAGACAGGAAAAGACAGGAAAAGACAGGAAAAGACAGGAAAAGACAGGAAAAGACAGGAAAGGACAGGAAAAGGCAGGAAAAGACAGGAAAAGACAGGAAAAGACAGGAAAAAACAGGAAAAGACAGAAAGGCAGGAAAAGCAGGGAAAGGCAGGAAAAGGGCGACAGGAAAGAGGAAAAGGGAAAACAGGCAGGAAGGAAAAGGCAGGGAAAAGAAAGGAAAGACAGGAAAAGACAGGAAAAGACAGGAAAAGAAAGGAAGGACAGGAAGGACAGGAAAAGACAGGAAAAGACAGGAAAAGAAAGGAAAAGACAGGAAAAGACAGGAAAAGACAGGAAAAGACAGGAAAAGACAGGAAAAGACAGGAAAAGACAGGAAAAGGCAGGAAAAGGGAAAAGCAGGAAAAGACAGGAAAAGGCAGGAAAAGGCAGGAAAAGGCAGGAAAAGGCAGGAAAAGGCAGGAAAAGGCAGGAGGAAAAGACAAGGAAGGAAAAGGCAGGAAAAGGCAGGAAAAGAAAGAAGTGCTGGGAGATTAGATGCAGTTGTTGAGCCACCAGCAAATCTTCAGTACCAAAGAACTGCCAAGTGTTGAAGTCCAAAGGTGCAAGTTAAAGCTTTCTAATGGATATAGTGCCTACTTATCTTTGTGCCCATGGGCTACAATGGACCAAGCTCCATTTTATTGAGTATATACCCCCATATTGCCAAAACTTGCCTCCTGCTCAAACAGGTACACATCTCTTCACCTCCCTAGAGGCTTCCTTCCACTCTTTGGCCTGCAAGAGTCAAGTTTAACACTCATGTTCCTAGTAAAGAATGAATCAACAACAGAGCAAATAAGAGCCTGAGAACTTCACTACAGATAACTATTTCACAAATTCTCTTGACAAACATCTAAGAAGCTTGGACTGCTTCCTTGCCTGTGGGGTCATGAATACTTCATGGTTGCCCTTCAGTAAGCTCTGCTTTCACATAATCAGTCTGTTTCAGAACAAAACATCTCTGAAACTTCAATTATCTCTCACAAAAAGGCAGCTTTATGAAATCTTTTATAATCTCTGATAATACAAGATGGTTTAAAACACTATTTCCTAGAAATGTGAAGTGGCAAAAAAAAAAATCCCATTATTTAATACCACATTTCAAAGGTTGCTAGCAAAAATCATTTACGAGGGAAAAAAAAAAAAAAGGAATGCTTGAGCCTCAGTCATGCTCAATTAGGAATGGAGTTCAAGGACACCAACTCATGTTGCTCCGGGTTGGTATGTCTTACTGGTGGCTTTCCATAAATTCTCAGCTGGAGTGTCATCAGCTGTGGCCTTATTCTCCTTTGCTAGTCTGGGGCGACATTAGAATTATCCTTGGTATGCCTCAGTATTGCAAAGAGAAAGAACTTTACCACTTCCTTTAATCCTCGTGAGGACTTGCTTAAAAAAAAAAAAAAAGGCAGGGAGGGAAGAGGAGATACACAGGATGGGAGTCAGCTTCCTTCTTAAATGAAGGGTTACTGTTTGACAGAATAGTTATCCAGGCCTTATACAGTGACCACCCCTCATCCCCCAAAATCTTACATCATTACAAAACACAGCAGAAAATTATTTACACTTGTCACATTCTTCAGGGCCCTGGCACTGGCAGCAGCATTTAACACCGCCCAGTACTCAGATCTCTTTTCAGATGCTTGTTCCTTAACATATGCGAAATGGGCATTAGAGAAGCATCCTGAAAGACATTTATTATTTTGCATCCTTCACAGAGTTTGGAAGCTAATAAAGCTTTAAAAATCTCCACTGAATGCAGAAATAAGATATACGTTCTTAGTAAATAAATGCGGCAACAGGCCTATGGGGGCACAATATCTGATCATACAGATAAAGAGCACTTTGTTGATGCAGAGCAGAGGTGGTTTCAGGTTATATCAGCCAGCTTAATACATTTCCTACCTTTTGACCTCCATGCAATTTTAAAGCTTTCCTTTTTTAATCAGTATAATTTTTTATTTTTTTTTTTTTTTGAGGTACAACAGTCAGGTAGATAAAAAGTTTTAAGTTAATTCAAGTGTTTTGGGAGACTGTTTTCTGGGTCAGTTATATTCACAGGTAGAGAAAACCAACTCAAGGAACAAATTCAGATATTTATTTATGTATTGTTACAAATTTGTGGTTTTTTTTTTTCCATTAAATGTATTTAACAGACAACCTATTTGCACTCAGGCCTTTCGGCATTTTAATAAGCTAAAATATACACTTTTGGTGCCATATAAATTATGGTTAAAAATAATTCTCAAGGACATACTGAGGGGACAAGAACTGTAAGCAAAATAACTCAAGTTGAAATAGTCAATTCCCTTCAACAGTGGTTTCTATTTCATGAGATTATATTCTTTACGCTAGCAAACTATATACAAACAATACAACAAAACTACTGTAAGTGCAAAAATGTAAAAAATATACACAAACATATACACAAACTGCTGTGTTTCTGTCTGAGCTACCTTACTATTAAGAAATCCAGTACAAATGCATGATTTGTATTTATGTATTTAACTTGTAGTATCTAATATTTAATTGTAAACAAGATTCAGCATGTAGAGCAACTTAAAACAGTTGTCAGAAGCTTAAATCATGAGGCCTGGAGACTGAAGAACTGTGCACATTAGGATCCAAACCGAAATACATACCCATACCTTTTCTGACCTATACTGCTGGGGCATTTAGGGTATGCAAAAAATTTAGAAATATTTAACTTCTCCAAACAAATTCTTGAATTTGATTGTTTTACAAAATGCATACATTTCAATATTTAAAGTAAAATCATTATCACATTTGCAGGTGTATGGATCATGTTCAGTAAGAGTGTTTTGTTCATAACCATCGAATAGGTTTTAGGTTTATTAAAAAAACCTTTCTTGGCAACTCAGTTAAGGAACTCTAAATGAAAGCAAGCAATGGATGTTCACAATCAAACAATTAGTGAGCAAATGGTCACATCCCTTAAGCACAGATGAATTCACTGGGGACTGACCAGTGAGTCACTGATGATACTTATCATTAGGCAAGTATGTGTAGGATACACTGCATTGCTGAAAACCTACAGGATTTAGAAACCATGAACAGATATTGGAAAGAAAATGGAAGCTGCCTTTGCATGGATGTGATGATTTGCTGCCATGAGTCACTGCTAAGGTTCTTAGTAAGGATGTTTTTTTGTTTGTTTGTTGTCAAAAGATGGTTGTCTTTTTTTCAGGTACTTCCCAGGCACTCACTGATGTATTATTTGAAGCACCTGGACACTTAAGAAAACCCAGGATGACAGTTCTGTCTATCAGGACGGTATCGGACTAAGTAACAGTAGTAGCAGTAGTAGTGTTAGTCAGTTCAACATCAGAGAATGTGGAGAGAATTAAACATTAACTGTGTCAGTTTACAGCCTCCACAAATATGAAGTGTCTGTATCTATAGCAACTCGTTTCAGTGGAAAATTCAAGTACAACAATATTTTCACAAATCTCCTCATGCTAACGGAGAATACAGTAACGAATCCATAGGTTTCCATTTCCAGGAAATATGTCAAGAGTCAAATCTCATTTTGTGTATTTTCTAAGTGCTTGAAAATTTACAGCATTGAGGAGAACATTTGATGAATTCCTTCTCATACGTGATACTTTTTGATTTAAAACACAAGCCAATCCATACAAGACACATTCTGAAAACTAGTTTGATGTAAAGACTAGTTTCACAAGTTTTGTGAGCTTTTAGGTTTTTTTAAACATTTCAAACAGTGCGACGATGCAGAATATACACCCTAAAATTAAAAAACTGCTTGTAAAAATAAAATGTTGGAAAAAAATTTAGAATCGATTTCACTGAAAAGGCTCAATAAAGTGCAAGCAGTAAATGAGAGGGTTTACATAGTGAAAAGTGAAGTTTAATAAATTCATACAATCTATATTGCTGACAATGAGAGACACGCTATAAAAATGTTTTACCTTGACACCATGCCCTCATATAAAAATATATTCTAATTGTCTTGCAGTACAATCAGATCTTGACAGAATTGAAAATGAAAAGAACACTGAAATGCCACTGCTCCTTCTCAGCAATGTCAAAAAGGAAGAAAATATGTAGAGTTATACTACTGCAGTGTACTCTAACTGGATGAACTGGACTAGCTGAAATTACATAGTATGGTAATTGCAAATGAAAAAGATGCATTGCTACTTACTTGCATTGACTCCTCACCACTTCTTGAGAAGGTATTCAGGAGGTGCCACATTGCAAATATGGAACTCATTCCTGTGCAAAAATTCTCACACTTTGAGCTGTCACTAAAGCAGAGCTCTCTAATTACTGGACAGAAGTATGCACTGCAGCAAGTATTTTTACATCAAAAAATACTTCATGTCATTAAATCTGCAGGTCTTTGTCCTCTCAAAAGTATCTCCTCCTGCTTGCAGAAAGTCTTTTAACTGAAATAACCAGGTCTTCAAAGTGTATCACAACTTAGACGATTCCAGCAACTGGAAACAAACCTTTGTAATATCATCTGTCACCCAATAAAGGAATTTGCTTTTAACTGGAACTTTTTTTTTATGAAAAATAATAAAGCATACTGCAAAAGTCTTCCCAGCAGAGGGGACATTTTCAAATCATTTACCCTCCAGGCAGATTCTTTGGTGTTCAGGAATAGAGAGTATAGTATCAGCATGAACAAGTAACAATTATTTTCCTTCATACACTCCTGTTTGTCCTGTAAGGCCCATCATGCTATTGGCAAATATTAGAGAGGTAAACTACTTCTTCTTTACCCTTAGAGACTGAAGTCTGATCAATAGCATTTGATGTCTCCCTTTCAGTGGAGATTTTCCACATGGCATATAGGCAGAATTTCCACTTATTATTAGCATAGGACTATGACAAACTTACATCCTGGCTAGTCATTCGAAGTTTAACCTGTTGAAATTCAAAATGAGTATTTTCGTATTCAAAAGAGTCTTTACTTTTTAGCCTCCAGTTTTTGCTAATATAAGATAAAAGAAGTTAATTATTGCACAGCTAGTGCCAAGCCTTTTAACTGCCCCAAAATGGTGCAATGTCAGGTGCTTAATAAAGCTCTGTGGAGACCCTGGTCACCTACTAAATAGTAAATAATGTCAGTACCAACTTTGATTTTTTAAGTTTTGTTGTCCTTTTTTTAAATCCTCTCACCCATTCCAAGTTCCAATTAAATGACCCCCAATACTCATTTTCAAATAACTGACACACAATCTAAATTAAAAATATCTTGTGAGAGCAGCAGCTTTGCAACAATATGAACTTTAAACAAAAGCAGAGTATTAAAATAAAGTCTGTATAGCCTTTTAACTATGAAATTATGAAATAATTCATTTTTACTTATGATTTTTCATTCTTATAAAAAACTGTTGGCCACAATTAAAATCAACTCCTGTTTTCTTGAAGAATACATATTTTTAGCATTGTAGTTAGTATGACAGAAGACAAAAAATGTTTTAACATATAATGAGTTTAAATAAATTTAAGACACTTTTCTGTAGGATCATCATCAAATGATGTTCTTTTCAATAATTTGTGTAAGCGTCTAAACCACATAAAGGATAATGCACATTACATTTTATTCACACTATAAAAAAAGCACAATATACAGGCCATATCTTTTAAAGTGCAACACAACAGAACATTTCTGCAACATTCAGGTTCTTCAAAAACCCACAAAAGTAGGTATTTAATATTTAGGACCAAATCCTGTTTGGAGGTGTATCAACACTGAATCTAAACTCTGAATGGTTATCAAGCTTGTCCTTGCTGTAAGTGCCACGCTAAAAGCGATGTTTATGACCACTAAACAGTATTATCTTATCTGCTTCCATATTAGACAGCCTTCATGTCACATGTCCACAATGAAGGCTTTTATTCTTTAGTCAGTGAAGAGCATCTGCAGAGCCCTTTATTGAAGACAGTTCTTTGACTATGTTCAGAAAACCTCTTTAAAGTCCACTTAGCTTCACCATACTGGCTACTGTTTCAGATGTTACATATACCAAGAAAAATATGGTAAATGGAACAGAGCAAGCATGTCTCTGAGTTGGCAGCGCATGCTTCACTACGTTTGGCACTATCTACCAAATGTATTGGTAACACACAGTATGAGCACGTACCAATTTGCTTTTCACCTCATAAATATTTTTGGTTGGATGTTTTGTGAATAACAGTTGAAAACCTCATTTGTTCCTGAGATGAGCATGACAAAAAGTAAGCTCCATCTAAAGCTGCCAACAGGACATTCCTCTGCATTTCCAGCCTTGCTACCTGTGTGCTGAGCCAGATTTACAATCTCAATCCTCCCCAAGGCGCCACTTCTGAGACTCTTCTTGACGCACATCTGGCCTGATCTGGTTTCTCATTCCACCTAGAACATTTGAGGTTGCCTCTGTTGCAACAATGAAAGGTTTCACCACAGTTGGTGGGATTTGGCGGAGGACTCCTCCTACTGCTCCAGTTACTCCTCTGTTTTCATGCTCACGAGCAGCAGTCTCATAGATGGTTTGGGCTGTGTCCGTAATCCCCTTTGAGAAATAAAAAGAAATCAGTTACACTGAAAAAGAAAAAGCAACCTCTCCCAATTTTAGGGAAATTTTAAACTGCTCAGCGTTTCTCATCTTGGTGATTTGTATTATAGCTGTAGTACAACTATACTGATACAAATATGATTTAGTTGTTCTTCTGTGAACTCAGAGATGTAAGTATTTCATCTGACTTCCAGTGGCACATGTTGTGCATACGGGAAAAAGATGTGGGGTACTGTGGGCTATTAAAAAATGACAGAGTTCACTGGAAACTCAGCTGAGACCTTACTTCGTAGACACCATACCATGTGTAACTAAAAGTACAATACAAAAATACAATAAAAACAGGTCAGCATTCTAATTTATAACATGCTGTAAAAGCTTTCACTTCTTTTAAATCCAGTATTATGATTAAACTCTACCTCAGAATTAACAGTAACTCCAAAGGGAGGAGGAAGGGGGTGGGCGGGAAGTAAGGACGGATGGTACGGTGCAGGAAAGTAAGTTTACAGGATTTACAGTAGTCGTAAACCATCACAGCTGTAGAGCACTCACGTCCTATTCACATTTATCTGCATGATATCTTAGTTTACTTCTGCTTTTTCCATGCAAGGTTTCTGTTGGTTTAAGTTTACTGATGAAGACAGTCTTGTTCAAAACCTAAATCCTCTTCTTTATTTGGTCAGCTTAAACTAGCATCTGTTAATCTGTTAGTCACTTTTGCACTCACCTCTTTTACGACACTGTAGGCTTTGGCTACACCTTCCCGTAGGTCTACTGGCTGATGAGCTAAACGATGGCGAGGGAATCGCTTGATCTTTTTTGCTTCAATAAAGGTAGGCCCTGGTGATACCATGTCATATGCAGTTTCTGCAGCTGCCTGAAGATCAGGAGCAAATGTAAAAAATGTAAGAAGTCTTATGGTACCCAACCACAAATTTAAACTACTAATAGGGTGACATCATTGAAATAAAACAATTCTTATTCCACAAATAATACTCATTTACATAAGATAAAGGTTTTGTACAAGAACTTCTGGAATGGGTGTGGCTGTAACTATACATTAAGTTCCATAATGAAAGAATGAATGTTGTGGGTTTAGGGGGGTTTTCTCCCCTTCTAATTTTTGTCTCTTCAAAGGCATCCTCTAATCTGCATGAAATGCTCAAGACAGAAACGGAACATTTGATCAATGGTACGTATTTCTTACAAACACACAAGAACACATATAATCCCACTCGTGAGTAACACCACTTTTGGCGTGCTTAAGCACATACACAATTTTTGCAAAATCAGGTGGTAAAAGTGTATTTTCATTATGTATTTTACATTAAGGAACATAAATTTATTAACTCTTTAATCCAAGATTACTTTGGGATTAAATCCAGAAAACTTTATAGACTTTGTGTACATCAACACAAATAGTATTGGGTTTAGGTTTTGGGGGTTTTTTCCTTTGTTGGTTTTGTGGGCTTTTTTTGTTTTGTTTTAAATATGCACAGATAAGCTGAGATTTTTAAAAAAGGCAAGAATCTATTACTGGAAAATACATGTGTGAAGAACTCATCTTCATCAATATAAATGATCTTTTAGTGAAGCTGAAAATTTTAGTATTAAACTGTACATTGTAATACATCAAAGCCATAAGAAACATGTAGCAGCTTGGGTGTTCAGCAGTATTTTAACACAGTTTTCCAACTACTGCATTTGATGCCATAGTTCTCATCTCACAGATTGATGCAAACTCTGCCCAGTCCCTGCTTTCCTATTTATACAGCTCCTTTTTTTTTCCTTTTAAATACATACTCCCAACTTTAAATTTACAGCATTAAGATTTTAGTTTAATACAGAGCACTTACTAGGAGCATTTCTCATTTTATGTCTAACTTCAGAAGTAATACACTGTACCTGTATAGTCTGAACCATTCTGTTTGTCAGCTCCAGTGCTGCCATTGCAGTGGAAGTACCAAAAGAAGCTGCTCCTCTTTGAAAGCCCCTGACGATACGTCCGTCCTTCCGGTACTGCTCTATCGGCAACCACACCAAGTCCTTCAGACCTTGGACTGAAAGTGAAGACAGAACACCATAGTCAGAAAGTTCTCTTAAATAAGCAGAATGTCTTGAAAGGAAGTGAAAACAAGGGTCAACACGGTTTGTGGTGAGCTTTTTAGGGGGGAGAGGTGTTGTCTGGTTTTTAAGAAAACTGTCATGTGTCTGAGAAGAAATAAGATTTAACTTACCTAACTGCACTAGCGAATGCATAGGCCCTACTCCTCCCAAAATTCCTGGTAGCTGGTTTTTCTTTATATCATTAAGCCATTCACTGATGGCATAGGAGAACAATTTATCCACACCTAACAAACTAAAATAAATAAAATTATTATTTTTTTTAAACATACAATTCCAAATAAGATAAATGCATTCATCAGTCACTGAAGTAAAAGATGGCATTTAAACAAAAGAAAAGCTTTTTCAAGTGTCATCTTTTGACACTTCAAGATATCTCTTGAAGTGTGCTATCACCAAGATATGTGCTATCACCAAGACTAGCACATATATTAAATACTGTTCTCAATTAGATGTTATTCTTGAATAACATCATCATTGAAAAAACCCGAGACTCAAGAAATATTTGTAAAGTCAAAAAGCATCTTGGATTTCAGAAGTACATCTTAACAGAAAATTTGCTTTGCATTTGCTATGTTCAGTTATTCACTATAAACTTGTTCAATTTGCAATAGCAATGTTCATCTACACTTCAATAAACTTACCCGTGTCTGTAACAAAGTCTCTTCAGTTTTAATTCTGAACAGTTCAACTGAGCAAGCCCAATAAGAATCCCAGCCAGTGTTCCCTGTAAGTGAAATATTTTATTGTCACATGAATTTACTTAACCTGTTCAACCCGTGAGAAATAATTTCACCATCTCCACTCTTACTTGTAGGTATTTCTGTCCAAACAGATTCTCCCCCAGTCTTCCAAAAGCTACTTGTTACAGTGCTACAAATCACGTTACCTGAAAACTTCCAAGAGATGAAATTTGACTTAACCTGCTACTCTAAGAAAAACATCTGGATACAAGACAGCTTCTTCAGAAATAATAAGCCATAATAAATTATGTAAACATAGCTCTGGCTTTAGTATGTTCCAGGCATTCTAAAGCTACTATATTTCATGTTTTGATTTCTGACAACTGGGCAAATTGAAGAAGTTGCTGCTTTCATTCTTCCATATTTTCTTACTGATTTGCTGTGTCAAAGCACAATTCTGGTTGTGCAAACAGGATTTTTTGATATCTGTTTCTAAACGCAGTATAACAACCAATGCATATTTTAAGAAGAACTATGAGCATTTTTTTGTATTTATAACAGATTCTGCCATTGCTTCTGAGGCCCACATGTTACTAGACTGCAAGGGAAGGAAACAAAGAGAAAAAATGACATTTTATTCTGGCATTAATGAGGAAAAAAAAAATAAAGTGTAGAATTCTCATATCAGACAATGGAATCATCCTTTGAGGGACACTGCAGCAATATACTCTGATTTCAAGCCAATCACTGAGTTCATAAATGTGGCATGCAAGTTCCATTTGGAGTTAATCAGATCTGGAGGATCCACCCCTTAGGTTTCAAATTAAGAGTGCAACAAGGTTAAGCTTTACTGAAACTAATGAGAAGGAAAAAAAAGTGTTCTGTATTTGTCTTGATCACATCAATAATGACTAGGGAGCATAAAAATATACCCCCACTCATGGGGGTTGGGGAAAAACAAAACAAACAACACCCAAATTTTTGTTCTATAGCACCAGCATTATACACAAACCTGATCCATCGATACGTGTTTGCCGTGGTAATCAAGCCGTATTGGAACTTCTGATGTGAAACGAAATTCCCTGCAAAGTAAAAAGAAAATTTCATAGTGAGATACATGAAAAGGAAATAAAATTATTTATCCTTTCAAAAGAAACTCCTGGTTTCACATCCTCCTGGAATAGAATGCCATAGTCTTTTCTGTAAGCCATAAATCCTCTAGTTACTGTGTTGGTACTTCAGAATAAATGTACAAAATACAGTGGCAAATTCAGCTTTTCTTGGTTTATTAACATCTAGTTCAGATTAGCATTTGTAATAAATTTAACAGTCCTGCAGAAGTGCTACTAATCCTGCAAGTGAATGTCTTTCCTCAATTTTCACAGCACAATATTCAGTTAAAAACAAACAAACAAAAAACACCAACAAACAAAGAAACCCCATAAAATGATGGCTCTGTAGGCAAAATTTAGTCCTGCAACAGGAACTTAATAAAAAATTCTGCTGGTGATGTATATGATGAACTAGAACCACAGCCATGCTCTTACAATTTGGTTCTGCATTGCTTACTAAAGCACACATCTGTTGTTCAAGGCACTTACAATCTGAATACACGTGAAAAAACTTTTGCATAACAAGCTACAATTTTCACAGTCGCTTCCTACTCAGGACTACATTAGAGTTTATCTTGTGATATTTTAATCTTATACCTCACCTCTTCCATGATATCCTTTTCCTTTACATACTTTCATCTCTGGTTATATTAGATTTACTTTACATTGTTAGATGTAAGAATATAAACAATGCTCTTTTTATTTATTTGTAAAACATCTCATTACTGGTTCTCTACATAGCAGAGCTTTAATTAATTTTTATTTCTTTGTGCACAGTAGTGTTCAAAAGTTAATAAAAGTCATTAGTTACTGTCCTGTGATAGAAATAAATACATCTGATTGCCACACCCAGTCAATGAACAAACAAAAAAATGCACCTTTGCCCTAAGGTCTGTATAGTTTAACATCACCTTTCCTTAAAACATTCAGCAGAACAGCTGCGTGTCACTGGAAATTTTGTAACGAAAGTTTACCTGAAAAATACTGGCTGATCACTGTATGATGTCGTTTCTTGTGAGAAATTATCATCATCTCCATTAACCACATCCATAGAGTCAATGCTACCATTTTCATTTGCTTGCTTGTGTGATGAGAAAGAAATGACTGGACTCGGTTCCTTAAGGCTGCTGACGTGCCTGGGCAAACTACACGTAACTTCAGCACCAGGAGACTTTTTAACTAAGATAAGAAGTTATACACAGTCAACTGACTCACATTTTTCACAGAAAGATTGCATTTACACCATTAACTGTGTCCTTAGTAAGTTCTAATGCTTATTAGTAGGACTTATTAACAGGACAATATTTAGACACTTAGTTATTAACCAAAATTATTTCATGCAGCTTAAGACAAGATTGATGCATCAGCATAAACAATCCCTCTGGTTTTAACGGCAGTATTGCAGAGCACTTCATTACCTATGCATTTCAGTATGACACCTCAGCAGAAATAGGTAAAGTGTAGCTGCTAACAAATGCACAGATATAGTTAATAGTGGAAATATGCTTTTCAGTATGTACTGCTTTTGCATCAGATGTTGTAGTTGATTAGAAGTACTCCTTTAGCTGCATACATACAGCATTTAATACCTCTTCCATAAAATAGTATGTCTATCTAATAGTTTGAAGTTGTGTAACATAGAGTTCAGTATTATAAATATGCAGTACACTGTATTTGTTTTATCTAATAATTACATCATATTATATACACAATTCTCACGTTTTTTCAGAAGCTCTTATTAAATATGCCCCAATTTCAGTGAAACCTTTTATACAATCGGGATCCCAGGTGTTGAAGACCTTTGTTGATGATTATAAAATACGAAGCTAAAATACCCAAAGATTCTGTGTTCCAAAAAATCAGTAATTCATGCTAGTGCTCAAACCCCAACACAAGTTTTTATACACACAAGATTCACATGTGAATTTATAGAACATGTACCCACATTAAGGGAGAACAAAGATGCACTTTTATGCTAGATTTTTGAAAAGTATACCTTCAGGATCTGGAGTAACTAAGAGTTCTACTTCTGTAGAAAGGCTAGTGAAAAAGTCCTTCAGGAAAAACAAGGCATCCTAATGACAAAAAAATAAAATATAATCAGATTAAAATAAATACAAAGACCCAATTCTCTAAAAATATTATCTATTATTCCAGCTCTATTTCCACACGGTCATGAAACAAAACACATTTCTTCTTTTTGATCCTTTAACACATGCAGAAATCACATAAAATCTAGGACAGAAACCAGGAAGATCCTCCGGCCACTGCCCGCTGCTCCATATAACATGATTTCATGATCAATCTAGCTCTGTCTTAAAAATCCAGGGTTGTTTTCATCACTCCTACTGTAATTTTGGAGACTGTTCCAGAACCCAGGTGCTTAAATGGCTACAACATTTTCTCTCATTTCCAATAAAAGGGTATTTAAGTACACTTTATATTCTTTTCTAATACTGTCAAAGTCAGTCAAATCATTACAGACCACCACTGCTTCATTAAAAGTCATTAATATCTGTGGTGTTAATGTTCTAAAGTTATTACATCCCATTTTCTTTTTCTGACAGATGCATCACACTGGTGCCTTATTCATCCTGTCATTAATGATCTGGACTTTCTTTTCCATTTTTGTTTCCAACTGATAAGAAAGACAGATTAAGTAGTAATGACAAGTATTTCTAATATGACTGCATGCAACCTGCCCCATGCTTCCAAATGAGCTGTGGTTAATTTCACAGAAGTTGTAAAGGTGAATTCTGTTCATGGTACAAAAGATAAAAGGCTTTAACGAGCACCCAAGAGGGAACACATTTCCTCACTAGATGGCAGTATTTCCAAGCTATTTTTTTCTGGATGAAATTATTGCAAACTAGACAGAGTTCAATTTTTCTCATAGCAGCATGAAAACCTCGTCTCTAATGTATGTTGACAGAAAGAGAAAGTAGATGTGGAACTCCTAAATTAATACTCAAAACCCAAACATCTCTCTGAAGATGACAAATTAAGCAAGAAATGCCTCAACAAAGAGTAATATGCACTTTATATTTGCATGCCCAAACATATGTACCTTCCTTACTGCTTTAAAAAAAATCCAAATGTTTCTTGAGTACATCAAAAATACTTTGAACAAAGGCTTGCTAAGGAAAGTAAAACAATTTCTGTTCTTCCTGCCACTGCAGTTGACAGCAAGACCAAAGCCTTCAGAGTAAAGAAGCATTTCTTGAGTGTCAAGTGCCCTTGACTAAAATGTTGTGAACCACTTCTGGTTTAATGATTAACGTTTTCAATTAAAAACAATGAAGCCACTTCATGAACAAAGCCAGATGATTCAAGAGTAAGTACATGATTTTTAAAAGCCATGATTCCAAAACCTTTGAAGTTATCAGAAGTCTCAGGAGGAAAACTTATTGAATAAACAGCCTTGTCTACAGATATTCTAAGTTTTTAAATTAAAAACCAAAAATGGACCCAAAAACCAACCTGGTCAATATTGAGGCGAAGTGGCATTAGGGAAACACGTAAACAACATTCCTGTGGAGATCTGCCAGACTCTGGACGGACATGTAATGCTTTAACTGTTAACTGAAAAAAAATAATAAACAAAAGCACTTACATTCACAATTATTAAATCTCAGAACACTAACTAGGAAAAATATTTAATGCAAAACCTCTGTACTTATCTGATTATAACAGTTAATATTATTAGCAATTATAAAGCTAGTATTGAATAAAAACTTACTATGAATGTAATAAAAATTAGAGGAAACCCCCCAAAAAAGTAATAAATCCTTTATAGAACTAGTAAGACTTCATATACCATAAAACTACAACTCTGTATGTGTAGTGAAGTCTCATCATACTCATACAAGCGGACATTTGTTCAAAACCAAATTGTGAAAACTACCAAAAGTTGTCCTGCAAATCTACCTTTTTTAACTGACAGAATCTCAACAACATTAATACCTGACAAGCTACCATTCAAACTCACTTTTGAATCAGTTTTAATATCCATAAAGAGTCAAGCAAACTATCAACAAATTATATTACTTCAGTGTTCCATGAACTCATGCTTTTTCTTGTGCAAGATTTCTAAGAAGAGTACATAACCCCCACGATGATAGTTCAACCACTGTAAATGTAAAAAATTAACATATTTCTAACATATTTCATAACTGTACCATGTTTGAATGTGCTTTTCTGGGCATCTCCTTACTGCAGTAGAGATAGAGAAATTTATTCATCTGTGATGTAGCTAAGCGATCTCTAATCTCCAGGTCTTGAACAATAAAAACCTGTCGGGACACTGGCTGCTCCAACAGACAGGATTCACCTTCTGCACCACATGGAGGGTATACCTCATGCTGGAATTTCACCTTTTACAACAGAAAGAAAACCAGCATAATCAGTTTCAGTGAAAAAGAGCATTTAACAGCAGAATACTATTTAAAAAAACAAACAAAACAGAAAACCACACCACACAAAGGAACTTTAATAGCTGTCTACTATTTTAAATCTACAGGAATAATATTGGGATTTCTGAAAACTATTCAGCTTTTTACATGTAGCAGGAGAAATCTTCCAATTTCTAGCTGTGTATATATTCATATCTTAGGATGCAAATTCAAGCCAAAACGAAGAGTCAGTATAAGACAATTAACGAGTTTCATTTTTTGTTTTAACATTGACTTTGCTTTTTCCTCTCAATCCTGACATCCTTCTTACTTCACGGTGAAGCCTGTATCAGGCAATCCTGCAATTCTTGAATCCTGCACCCTCTACACCTAGGAAAGTAAGGTTTCTTCCCTACCAATTGACTTCTCAAGTGGCTTCTTGCAGTCTTATTTCCTTTTTTTTTACTCACTTTAGTCCATATAAATTCGAATTCAGTCACAGAGCTGTGGTGACACACAAACCACTCCCTGTCCCACCAAACCACACCAGATCCCAGCCTCCAGCAGAGGGCACACAGCAGTGGGCTCTACTGGCCTGATTTGCAAAGAAACATCCACTGTTTGTGACACTGTCTCCTTAATAATGTTTAAAGAAGAAATTAAGTCTTCCACAAAGTTAGGAGTACAAGTGGGGGGAAAAAATCTTTTTGCCTCCGTGTTAACACTAATTCATTAAATATCCACAAATTAAGAAATGGCTATACTTCTACATATGAAGTTTTCCAGAGGGAATATTAAACGCTTCCTTTCTTTCCTCTTTTTTATTGCAATGTCATATTGTTTCTAGAAAAGACACATCCACATATTCCTGGCAAGCTTGAAGTGCTAATTGGATGAATTTTAAGCTTTAGAAACCCATAAAGACCATAAAAGGCATTTATTTTTATGTAGTGCCTTTCATGTTTGTGGAAATGTTTGATAAAGTCTTATCTTAAAAAGATTTTGTTATTGATCCATTTGACATGAACTCCTTGCCAGTATTCTTCCCAGCACCAGAAACAAGCATCTAGTTCCTATGTTAGAGCTAAGCATAGCCTTAAAAACAACAGTAAGATACTTATGCCTGAAAGGTGCTAAATACGTTAGGAGAAATAGCAGGAACAATATTGTGATGTAACTGGATGTTATTTAATATACAGTTATCAAAGTGATATGCTGAGCATTGTCAACAGATCTACACGTTGTTTATTTTGCTAGAACACTTAATTTCATAACAGGCGTATCTATAAGAGAGGAAAACAGAACAGCAGTTTTAAAACTTGGTTATAATAAACAAAAACATTAAGAATATTAGAATAGATATCCTTCATCTTTAGAAACAAGTTTATTCAGCTAGTAAATGCTATGCTAGAAGAGTAAATACATCTTTTGTTACACAAATTCTACCTTCATCATCTTCCAAGTGATTGCTTAGATTTAGATACTGTTGAAAGAAATTCTACTGAACTCTAATGGAAAACTTATCAAAGGAATGTAACATTCACACACAGAGAGTCATGGCTGAAGCTGTTTCTGTCATTCACCTTGCTTAACTGTATTTCCATTAGGAAGTCAGGGTTTCTTCCTCTTCCCCCACATGCTGTATTCCGCCCATGCCTTGTAGGTGTATGAGAAGGTGAACTATGGGGACTTCTGGGGAAATAAAAATTAAAAATACACTTTTGCAGATTAAAGTTATCTCACTGTTAATCTAAAACTAAATGCAACGGATGTAACTTATTAGTATTTTAATGGCTTTCAAAAAAACCCACTGAAATTGTGATACTGTTAAACAAATAATTTCTTTCTGCTCTTCAAGTAATGCATACTTAAGCAGAATGCTACGTGTATGTGTCCCCCCAAATTACATTCAGAGAACATTTTCTTAATTTTAGTTGTGATAATTTTAATAACTCTTTATCTTATATGACATCTGGTAGACCTGACTTATGCTCCTTAAGCCCTGATATCTTTAGGAAAATTTGACTTCTAATATTACCAAAAACAAAATCCATCCCTCCACCACACCCTCCCACCCAAAATAAAAAAAAAAAAATAAAATAAAATAAAATAAAAAAAAAAATAATCATCAGCAAACCCAAACCCCAAATCCAGCTTGTCCAGGTTAAGACATGGGAAAAATACACTCCAGTGTGTGGAGTTAAACTGAAGAAGATTCTAGATGATCTTTAAGGTCCCTTCCAACCCAAACCATTCTGTGATTGACTTGATTGAGAAGGGAGCAAAGAAGCAAGCAAGGGACATTGAGATTTAACAGTGAGATTACTCCAAATTAAAAGAAAATTAAGTATTTTTAAGGGTTCTAATCTACAGAATTACATGAAACACTTACATGAAACTTTTAGCCGGTGATGTTGGTGGTGCAGTCCCAAAATCCCTTCCACCATAAAGATGCCAAATAAGAGATATTTCCTTTACAACATAGCGTACCAGAGGAACAGGAAAATGCAGAGGAGCTTTGCTTGTATCTGTTTTTTTAACAGGTTGGCTGAAATGATTTTCCTTTATGGTAATTGCATCATCAACCATTATTTTTATAACTGGTTCTTCCTCTTTTTCCTAATTAAAAAAAAAAAAGTGTATAGCGTTGAGAAGATGAAATCTGCTTTCTTTATTGAGATGCCTAATTCTTTCCTGTGAAAAGAAAAGCTATTCTGTATTGTCTTCTAGAGCTTATCCAACACATAATTGTTTTAGGAACGTTTCTTATAAAGACAAAAGCATATGAAAAAAAACTAGAAGCTGAGAGGTAGTTAAAAACAGCAACAACAAAAAAACCCAAACCAAAACAAAAAAATTCCCCACTCAAACTGTAAACAAAACAAAGTACTAATTGAAAGCAAACAAAAAAAACCACAGAAGAGCCCAGGCTACCATACTAGCACTTTTGGAAACAAACAAGCTCAAATATAACTTGGAAAATACAGCTCCTAATCAGGGATCCAGGAACTACTTCTGTCTATTAAGATGAACACAACCAGAGATACTACGAACAACATGAACACCATGCAGAGGACGGACATCAGTGTAAAGCAACGCACAAGTTTTTCTCTGAGCTTTGGCAAGGATCTTAGGTCCTTAAAAATATTGAAAGCTTAGATTATGAGAGAAATGAATAAAAGATTAGAAGATGTGCAAACTACTATTTTGCTAAATACTGGGTTTTGCCTAAAACATTTTTTCCCTACTGTGCCATTACTGTAAGTCAAAATGGCAATGATAAAACATGACTAAAATGTAGGAAAACTGCCAATACAGTTTAATGTAACATTCAGATCAGAGAACAATTACATAGTGCTGAGATATAGAAAAATCGTATCTATCTGAAAATACTTATTCCTTGTAGTAACAATGCAGAGTTCCTTTCAAACAGAAAAATTATTTTTCTGCTAGTTTGCCCATTGATAAAAAATATCACTAAGTATCACAGAAATCTATGAAATCTATTTTGTCTAAGTCTTAAATAGGCTTTTCTCTAATTCAGTTTATATATGGACTATTTTTAGTAATTTTCAAAGGATCTTACAGCAACAGCAACTTTGGGTGCAAAAAGAATGCAGAAATCATCACTTTCTGCTGGAACATCTCCCATGGCCTCATTTATGAGGTGATGAGTGAACGAAGCATAAGTGGGACTTGAATCTTGTGAGACATTTCCACTTTCATCTGGAAACAGGAAGAGATCTGAGCAAGATGGTTCCTGAGTTTGAGATCTGTCATCCAAAACTCCTGAGAGTTGAAGAAGGGTGGAGAAAAAAAACATGTTTCAGTGGAAAAATCCTTACAAAATATGAAAATTATTTAAGAATTAATAAACATTTGTTATCTTCAATTACATCAAGGAAATTTGGTTATTATATCTTGAATCACTTCCCACTATAAAAAAAATACAATTTTTAAAATTAATCCAGTATACAATTGAAAGTGATTACAATATAATCATAACTAGTTACTAGCAGAGATGAACTGAGAAAAGACAGGAAAATTATTTGCAAAAACCCCCTACAGATACAAAACCCCAAAACCTGCCATAGATCTAGCATTTTCATGTCCAAGTTTCTCATTCTGGTAGTAAGACCACAGCATCAATAACTTTCAGTACTACAGTGACTGTTCACCTTCCACCATCAAAAAGACCAGACATCACAGAAATAATGACATTCTCTATTTGCAGAACAAAATCCTTAGCAAATTTAAATCTGAATTACACTCTAGCCATGATACAGGAGCCATAATCCTGTGATAAAATCAATCTATCTTGTTCTATCTGCTAATGGAAAGAATTCCTCACAGCCAAAAGTTCTTCCTGTGACTCAGAACTGTACCATCTTCCTGGACTACCTTCATACACACAAGAGAGGTCGTTGATTCCTCCACATTGCAGTATGACATATAAACTTACACCTAATGCTAACTTACAGTCTTACAGAATTTGGAGTCTAGACAGATTCCTTCCCTGCTGCTTTGGTATCTCAGTAATGTGTGTTTGACAAGATTCTGCATTACTGTTATTAAAAGCAAGAATCTGTTTCATAGTTTGAAAACTTCAGACATCATACGTATCCGCTCCCATTTTTACTGCACCATCTCTACGTACACAAAACTTTCAAGGCCACTTTCTTTCCAAAAAGGCTGTACTTCGTGTGTACTTATGCCTTTAGAGGATTCTTACCATTAGATTCTGGTTTCATGGCAGAAGCAGTCTGTTGAGTCTCAATTTCTTCCATTGCATCACTCATCAAATCCCGTAGAATCTGTTGCTCTGATTCAGCGAGGACTGGTCCATGGGAAGATGGTTGGCTAAAGGTCTCTACCTGTAGGAGAGGAGTTACATCTGAAAGACAACTGCAACGTTGTGTTGAAAAAGATTTTGCTAGAAAAGCTTGATTCACAGCTCTTAAACTGCGAGAAGAAACATCTTTACTTGATAAATAATCAAGTACTTTGAAACACCAAGCTAGATAATTCATAGAGTAGGTTAGAACATTATGGTTCAGGATATTTAGATAATGAGAGTACCTGGACAGCTCATATATGTCCTAGAATTTCATTCTTTAGAAAAGAATAAAGTACAACAGGTAAACAGTACAAAACATTTTAAAATATTTAGTGACCAAAGCAGAAAAAAAATACATTATTTTACTCTTAAATATATTTTAAATTAGATACAATCTGGTTATTTCTTCATAGGAAATCTCATATTATTTGGAAATAGAATGGGGATTAAAATTAAAACATATTACCAAGAAGCACAAAGTTAAGTTGGTATTATTTTGCCGTGTTATACCTTCATTTTTGGCTTGCTAACTCCACGTTTAACCTCTGTCTTCGCAGGTGGATGTAAATCACCGTAACTTGCAATATATTGTATGAGATTCATTAGTGCAGCACACGAATCAGAGCAGGTACGAATGTGGATCACATCGCTGGAACAGTGCAGCTCAAAACGTGGTTTGGTCTAGATAGCAACAATAAAAAGGTAAGAATGCACTTCAGATTCCATAAAAATAGCATCTTTACACAGTTGGTTTTAAATTAATTTACTTAACTAGTCAAAAAGGATTTAAAAGAAATAGCAAAATGAAGGAAAGTTTTTCAGTTTATTTTTAAGTATAATAAGGTAATTTTCAATCACAATCTCTCATGGAGATTTTACATTTTACTTTGTCTCTGATTAAATACTTACTCTTTCTCCCTCAGAATCCGATTTTACTGCTGTAATGGTTAGTTCCAGCAGTCCCATATCCATAACACGAACATAATCTGAAAAATTATAATTAGAAAAAATATTAAGATAATAACACAATCCTTATTAAGTATTTCTTGTTATTACACTGCCAAAAATAGCATTAAAAAAGGTTTTTATCAAAACCTTTTATATCTCCACATTTCCTTCTCTTATGAGGATTAGTCTCTGAGTTCAAGTTTCAGCCACTCAAATCAAGAACTCAAATAATTTCAATCCAATATATCACTCCCACTGCCACCATCTGTGTGCAATGTAATCTTTTAAGGTATTTATCCTCATCCCATCTGTGTGAGTTAGAGAAACAGGCACACACAAGTTGAGTGACTAAGCATTCCACCAGTTTTTTAGTTGAAGTTAGAGAAAGAGAACACATGTTCACATAGTACTCATCTTTCAGTGCCACAAATAACTTATTTCCCCTCTTTTCTTGTTTAAACAAAACAGGCATACATTTATTGTGTCCTTTAATAGAGATCTCTCACCTAAGCTAAATACACACATTTGTGGGTACAAAGATTCATTATTTTTCCAATTTATTTGTTAAATACTGATTTAAGTTCCTCAGTCCTTAAAGGTTCTTACTATTTCAATGAGAGCAAACCAGTTGGTATCCTTTTCAGAACCTAGAACTCTATGCCACATAGCACCTTTGAAGTTCAACTATTCTGAATACATCTCATAAAATGAGATCTCTTTTCTATGAAAATTTCTTTCTAGGAAACTCCAGATTTTTAAAAATATGCTTTTTTCCAATACCCATTATGAAACTTTAACGAGATAATGGAGGAATTGCAAGTTGCTCTTCTCTGACATACTTCTGAACAAATCTAAACTAGAGCACTCAGATGTTCATCTACACTGCGCTATTCACTCATATTCAAGTTGCTGCTCCTTATCTCCTCAGACCTCTTCTTCAAAAACCTTTATATATGCTGAATATTACTGTAATTTTGTTTCTTTAGGCTCTACAATTGATTAGTCACATCTAAAACATCCTTACCTCTATGGAGGTTGACCATAACAGTATTGCACTTGTCAGACAAGTGCAAAGCAGCTTCATCTAAAATTATCCTAGAACACAAAACAAGATAAAGATGCTAGACAAATGCTGTACAATCAACCAGTCAAAAGAAATTGGTATAGGAAAAAAATACTTTAAAACACAAATATACCTAATGTATCTTAAAGGCAAACTCTTCACTTTAACTTTTCATAATTTCCAAATCCACTGGCAATTAACTACTGTAACATATTTTCACTATCACTAATTATATTGGTTTTGCATTTCAGTTTTTATATTTGATCCTTTCTAGAATAAGAAATAATGCTTTTGACATACAGAATTATCACTTATTTCCTTTTTTGCCTTTTTCTCTTTTTGATAAAGCTAACATACACATTTGTTTCAAGGGTAATTTAAAAAGTTTTATCAATAAAATCAAGCAACTTCGTAAATGTTTCACATCAGAACACGTATAACAGAATGAGTATTCAACTGAAGTTGCAAGAAAAATTATTAAAAGTTACAGAGATGTTCACTAATCACTAAATATTTAATTAATTAATATACTGTTTCCAAATAACAAATATTTAAGAAATCTTAAGGTGTTTCTAATTAATAAAATGGACACAACAACATCTCAGGACATCTTTCAACCTTATTAAAAATGCAGAATTGCTGGTTGTTAAAGAAAGTAATCTAAATAAAAAAAATATTAAAAAATTATGTAACCTAATAAAACAGAAGGATTACACATAAGCAAAGTATATTTCAAAATATGTAAAGCAGTGTGATCATTTACACAACAGGAATGTTTCCAAGGTCAAAAAAGCAGACAGGCGCTACAAGTTTTACAGGAGCTTCCACGAATTACAATCACTTAAATCATACCTGAGAGTAGAAGAGGATTTATCTACTGCAACACTGCTTGAAATGCTGAAAGTTTCAACAGTAAGTAGAGATCTGACTGGCAAAAACAATGGCCTAACAACAAATAGGAAAAACAAATTAATACTCTGTACCTATTTAGAAGTGCAATCAGAGCCCTACAGATGACCTAACTACATCTTCCCAGGCCTAGGCAAGTGTATATCCTACTTTAAATTGCTTCCAGTTTAAGGGATTTCTGTTAAGTACTTTTTCCCAAAAAGCCTAAATAAATATTCTTTTTAGTATGCAAACTCAGACATTCCTGAAGAATAAATATATAGCTGTAGTGCCACCAAGTGATAAACACTTGCATTTTATTTACCTGTAGTCAAGAGCGCAACTCCATAGATGGACATGAAAAGTTGTAATTGTAGCTGGAGGATTATATCCCAGAACAGGCTCATCAGAAATATTTAAAAAATATAAAATCTAAAAATCAAAAAACATTATTTTAATAGTTCAATATCTGTTAAATAAATATTCAATCATCTATTGCAAAAAAGAAAATCTCTAGCAGGTATGACAATAACAAGATTAGCAGAAAGAAAAGGAGAGAACAGTTTCAGATATGTAAAGGTGCTTACTCTGTGTCTTTTTATAGAAAAGCAGGGAATGGAAACAAGGCAAAAAAACCCATCAAAATTGCAGCTTCAAAAGTATGGAAAAGACCCAAGTGGCGTATAAAGTCTCACAATTCATTTTTAAAACCTTGCCAAAATACAGTTTCGTTCATCCTTCTTTGCAGTTGTTACTACAGTATTATCATTTTCTTTGCTCTCTGTCTAAAAAGTCAACTTTTCTTGTAATACTGAACATTGTTAACTTCAAGATATCCTTCTTTTTCTTGGGGCTGGAGTGGAAAATACGCTCAGAACTAGAAATATGTGCACGAGCATTGTACATACAGATTTTTCACGTGTTACCGTATAAAATAAACACTTATCCTCCTCTTTAAGATCTGTCATAGTTCCTTATCAAATCTCTTACACTATAAAAGTTCTCCACTTATTCTAAGCCTGGGACATACCATCGCTGCTAGCCTTTTAATTGTTTCCTCTAACTGTCTCTTTGGACAATTTTTTATTTCACCCCTCACCCTCCAAAAGAGATTCCCAAGTGCATTATTAATTGAGCAAATTCATAAAGCAAATATGGAACACGGTTTAAAGCAGGTTACACGAACCCACAGGAATATCATTCTAAGAAGAAAGTAATGACACAGCAGAGTCTGAAGCCCTAAATTCAGCTCCATGAAGTTATAAAATATCAATGCATATAAAAATAAGCACACCATACATACTGAGGGATAAGAAGGATAAATTTGAATGTCAGGGTTTACTATCTGTAATCCAGTATGGTGTAAGTACATGCAACTACACTGCTACCGTGCCAATGGCATGCCCTGCCTCACATGTGTTCACACACACAGGGTCTCCAGCCCTGGCTGCTGTGCTGTCCCTCGGCATCCACACCTGTGAGTACAACTCTCCTCATTCAGAAGTGTTTGTGTAAACTGCTGCTTACTACCTCCCTAAGTCTTCTTCTCCACATTACTGCTCTTCAAACTATGCAAGACAGGGAACGTATAAGGGAGAAACAAGACTTGAGAAATAAAGTGAACAGAAGGGAAAAATGGGGAAATGCTTTCAGTGCTGCAAGTACTTTGCTTGTTTTGTGGGTGAATTTTCACTAAAGAATTATTTAAGTACTTGAATAGCATTGCACTACCAAGATTACTTCGAAAATTCTTAAAACAAAACAAAAACACCAAAAAACCCAAACACTAAAACAAAATAACCCCCACCCCACCTCGAACCTCTCTGATTTAGGATTTAGGATGATTTAGGATTTAGGATGATGAGAGGAACTGTACCAAGTGAATACACAAGAAATAATTTAAAAGCAAGACTACAGCCTATCAGTGGTCTCAAAAAGAGACAAGAAAAAAAGAATAACACTTTCAAAAGAGTATGATAATAAGACATAGTTCAACACCAAGATTTTATATCAAGGTTTAGTTTGATACTCAAACCCAATAAAACAATGAGACTAAAACTGAAGATGCAGTTGAGAAAACTGTAGCAATCTGACCTGTTCATGCCAGCTTAAACCTGAAGGCAGTACTCTGTGCTGAAGGGTGGCTCCCCGTAATCCAACAGCAACTAGAAATTCCTGCACAACAAAGTTGCGTGACTTAGCTTACATGAAACATATGTAACTATTTGGCATTTAGATTATGAAATAGTATCATCCCTCTGTTCCCGAAATCTCCAAGTGTATAGAAATGAAGAAAGGACTGGGCCAGGATTAAGCATGCAAAAAACTTTGCTTCACAATACAGAAACCCTGGCTAATACAGTCTCATACCTTTTGCAACAGCGTAGTTTAGAAATAACACTTTTGTGGTGGTGATGGAAGGAAGGCCACCTGCACATTCAATCCAGGATTCACCAGAAATTAGCAGGAGTACCAACTCAATGTAGTTCTTTCTTATGCTGATCAAATATGAGTCAGTTCAGCCCCCCACAACACTTCACAGGTCTGCAGGTTCCTTTTCCAGATAACTCCAACCTGTTTGTCACCAGCTAAGAGGTCATCTTTTAGCCACACCAATGAATGCTACTGTTACTTAGCTATGTCACTCCAAATAGGTAAGCAAATGCTGCCTATTAGATGACACTGCCAGTAAACTGAGCAGAAAGTTTTTAACTCTTTATATTTGTTCTTGTCTGTTTTGGCACCAGATTAAAACTCAACAAAACAAACAAAGTCAGAAAAAACTGTCAAAGAAATGCCTTCAGTAATGAAATGCAGTGTGATTAGCAAAGTGAAACATTGGAAGAATTAGTAAATTATACTGATAATTAAATTTTAGAATCCACCCATAAGATTCTAACAGAAAATTACAGTTTGAGGATGAATGTCATGGTTTGTTTATCTATAGCCCTTGTAACTCCACATCTAGATGCTTCCATATAAATTGAAGTAACTCAAATAATTTATAAAAGCACAAATGTAAAAACACAAACCTTTGTATTGCTCTCTACTTTATCTGACTGGATTTTGACTGCAACAGTCAGCATACTTGGACTATCCACTCCCACACCATCTGAAGTAGTCCTGCTAAGACCATCTTCTTCAGAAAAACAAATAGTAGGTTCTAACCAATGGGGACGTATTGTGCTGGGCAGTCGTACTTCAGAGGAAGGGACAACCCCATCTACCAAACCTGCAAAGAGATTTTAGAATGAGTTACCTCAGGCTTCAAAGCTGTTACTGATGGAAGAGTGAAGGAAAATCCTTTTTATGCTTTATGCTTATAAAATTATTTTAATTATCAAAGTTAGTCATGAACGCTGACGACCAAAAACCGTGAAGGGAAGGTTACAGGTGATCCAATATTTAAAACCAGGGTTCAAGCTAAAATCTTCAGTCTGACTACAGGGTTTAAGTTTTTTATCTGCCCAACAAAATGGCAGAGGTGAAATAAAGGACAGATCTCCAACAGGTTACATGGAGAATAAGAACATGTGTCTCCATTTTATGAGACAGTGCCACGCTAACCCATAAACACACAATAATTAAGCCTTGCATTGAAAATACCACTGATTCAGAAACATATGAGGGGAAAACCTTAAGAAGTTTAACTAAATGGGGGCTATCAGTCATACAAACTACACAGTCAAAATTCTTAATCTGCTGACTACAACTAGCTACCCAGGAAAAACACAGCAGACGCTGGTACCCTGTAACTTTTTGAATGAAACAACCAATAACATGTAGGAAGCTAGTACTTTCATAGTAAAGAACAGACTGTACAGCTAATTTGACAGAGGATCACAATATCAGTGAAGACCAGCAGTTGCCAAGGAAAAGTTTGAGCTAAACTAAGTAAATATAGTTATCATAAAGTTGCATTACTGTAGTCTTTAGAAAGTTTAGCCATGAATTAAATCCGTTGTGCCAAATGATACACTATCAAAGAAAAAAAAGAAAAAAAAATACAGCCTTTCTCCTAAAAAAACTGCAAGCTTATCTCATTTCAAATTTAGTCCCAAAGACATGTCAATGCCACCCTACCTTGATGATATAAATTGAGGCTGCTAGAATGGAGACAAACATAGTGCCTGTCCTCAAAGCCTTCATATTTAGTCACGCTGAAAAGGGAACCACTGTTGAACTCAAACCAAAATTCACCATACTTTCCTTCCAGTGTATTTCCATCATCCTGCTGAAGAAAGCATAGAAAGGATAAAATTACTGTTTGCTGAGTTTGCTGCATTTAAACAGTCTAAACTAACATAACTAACTTGCTACCAATACATGTTTTCCTGCTTTTATTTTAGTTATTCTCATGTGAAGCAAAGTAAACACAATTGGCAAAATATTGTATTGCATTATTGCCTAGTTATAGTATAGTAGTATGAACATTACAGAATTACTGTTAAAAACACTTGTTCTGTCCAAATAAGTACATACAGCATGAAGGGACAAACAACTTTTTCCAGTCTCAGGGCCTCACCTTTACATCTGTGAATACTGACACTAATCCATGTGTCACATTCAGCAGAACAGACAAAAAGCTTTGCGAGTTCTTATTCTGTGAGTCCAGCTTTTTCCTTCTGCGTGAACGATAGTTTGGATCAACAGTGGAATAATACTGTAGTGTTTCTTCCTCAGATCCACTCTCATCATCTAATAGATAAAATGAAAAACAACTCAACTCATTCTCTAACTAGTACATATATTACGTCAATAACTTGTTTTTCCATTGGTAATGCAATTCAATTTCACACTTATTTTTACTCAAATAAACAGTAATCTACATTTTGTCTTCTTGGTTTATGTTTTCTCCTAAGTTCACAAAATCTTTCCACTAACAGCTTAATCACTTCAGCCAATTATGCTTCTAAATCACGATAGTTCTAGATTATTTATTAAGTGTATTACCATAATTAACTGCAGATTTAAATTGACTAAAGCTGTCTTTACTGAAAGTGTTGATGAGCTGGCTGGCCACAGATAGTCCAACACCATAAGAAAGGTTTTCAAATGTTTCTACAGGAGATGGAGCTGTGGGTTCCCACAACAATAAATCATTGCTGATCCTAGGAAGAAATACATTGTCATTACACAAAACATATGACTACGTTCCCACTTTATATTAAGTCAGTCAAGCATATTTTCTTTGCAGACTTCATATAACAGATTTCAGACTCCATAAACAAGATAGAGAAAAAAAGTTCAAGAGCACAAGAAATATATTAATGTGTAAAAGCAATAAATAATGAAAGTAACCTTTATTCTGTAATTATTATACACACGTATCAAAGTCTAACATTTGACAGTGAGACGAAAGCCTCTATAAGTAGGTACATATTAGCTCAGTAGGTTGGAGGGGGTGAGAAAATCCTACTTTCATCACATCAATTTTCAACCAAGTTGCAGGAAAAATTTGTTCTTTTGATTTCAAGTGAGTGTGTCTGCTATGGTAAAGACAGATGTGACATTCAGTGTAGAAATATTTCAACAGAACATTCAACGAAAGGATCAGCTTTGCCACTTTGGAAGTGAAAAATACTCTAGAAGTGAAGTAATACCTATCAGAGGCTAAAACAGGTCGGCACCTCTCTTGCATCTAACATAGCACAGTACCAATCTAGTAGTATTTTGTTGTCTTTCAGACAGAAAATTAACAAAAATAAAAGCTGAACATACATCTGTAAGTTGGAATTGTTCTCTCTACACTTTTGTAAACCTTTGTAATGCTTACAAAACTAGGTTAGGGTTTTTTCCCCTGACTGCCTTGCAAACTCTAGATTTATAGATGGAAACAATAAGATGGAGTGCAACAGTTTCTGAAGTACAATGATCTACTTAAAGAAGAAATCAGAAAGATTAGAGCAAAATGAAATATTGCAAACAGAGATCTGAACCAAGTACTCAGTGAGAGACTGTTTAGTTTTACCTTTTGTTCACAATATCTGCCAAACACTTCTTAGCAGATGGCTGTCATGGCACCGACCAGACGCCTGAGACAATGCTGTCTCTGATGTTAACTTGAAAAAATATTTATATAGCATTTTATGTTCTTAAATAAACTATACAAGCGCTACATCTGCTTATTCAATTGCTTTTATCAACGGTGAATACAGAACTAAGAGTACAGGTCATGATAACCAAGCAAAAACAATTATCATACTTGCCTGTTGTAAAGCTTTTCATAAAAGCTTTTGTTCGGTAATGTTAAGTGAATGTTTGGTAACATGAGTTCCAGTACATAATGAGAATTGCTAATTGTTTTATCCTGAAACTCAGTCATTTCTACTACATCTCCTGGCATCACCATCTGAAAGAAAAAAGAAAAAAAAACAAACTCTTAAGTTAAAAAAAACAAAACGCAAAAGTGGTAGCCAGAAGATGTACATCAAGTAGTGAGGATGTATTAATTTTGTCTACCATAAGCACAAAGCAATAACAAAACTTTATAGTACCTCTTCATTTTCAAACATGACCCTACGAGAAGAAAAAGGAGAAGGCTCTGGTCTTCTAATATCACAGACATCCTTCAAAGAATGAGACCCTCCTTCTTCTTCCTCTTGAAAGTTATTATCACCTTCTTCCTCCTCAGCTGCTATCCTTTCCAGAATAGAGTGCACAGCCAGAGGGTTTATTTTCAATACAATCCTGACATTGGAGAAGTTATGCAGAATAAGCCATTAGATATGCTTATAATGTTTATATTTAAGCACTGTCACATGTCCCCTAGTTCTACTGGCTTGCCACTAAATACACACAGACTAAATAGCTCAAAGACCAGGGATGTTTTTTATTAGATAGTAACATATTTTATTACCCAAAGCCATACTGCTAAGAAAAAAAACAAACTTACATATACAAAGGGACATGGAAAAACAACCATCAGATGAAAGAAAATGTTACTGTCTGCTTTTTTCAATTCCATCAGGTGACCATTTAGGTGACCTTTTTTTAAGGAAAACCTGGCACTCTCCCAAAATAATGCTTGTTTCACTAGATCATTAACAGCTATTCAAAATACTCTACTGCATGATGCAGTATATTATATGTAAACACTGTTACAGAAAAATTTATTTGTGCCATTATAAAAGAAAAAATCTCCCTACAAACTTGCTGTCAGGAAGCCACTAAATTTTGTGGCATAAAAAGTACACAGTAAATTCTGTAGCAAATCTAAAATTGCCTCTTTAAACATCTTATTACATGCTTCAGTTGCTAGGTCCTTCTCTTCAGTAAGTCCCATGTACTGTATTGCCTTGCATGTGATATAAGCAGCAATAATTCAGTCTCAATATAGTTATTCTTACTGTTATTCTGGCTTATTAATATATTATATAATGTATGAGATAATTATATAATACTATTAATATATTATAAATATATAACTAATATTAACATATTATTACTATATTTTTCGGCAAAACTTGATGGGGGGTTGTTTGGTATTCAGTCTGGAATGCAGAAGTAGGAGAAGAGGTAAAGTGACAAAAAAAATGGGAGAAAGTTGAGTCTAATAATTCATCTAACTTTCACTGACATATACTCAAGGAGTTTTTTATACTTCTTTTTGTTTTTTTATAAATTCTTGAGGTCTTTTCACAAGTTACATGTTCTTTCTTTGCAAATTATTTTCAAGCATTTATCACACGGGCATTCTGCATTAAAATCACAAAAATAACAGTGCTTCTTAAAAATCTAAACAACCCACATTAAAAAACCCCAAATGTTTTTTTACCGAGGCCAGTCAAAATTGTCTGATGACGATGTTACATCTCCATCTGTGCCACCAGACACTTGAAAAAATTTTATTGGTGTTTCTGCATTATCTTCTTCAAATGAACCTGAATAGAAAGAGATTTTTTAAAAATTAACACAGGAATGACAACTGCTAATTTCAGATTAGCTGCTCCTCACGCTAGAGTTTAACATAGCAATTGTCAATGCTATTTACTAAGCTACTTAGGCAAATTTGGTTGTCTCTTCCTCCAAAAAATATCAACTTTTAGAAATAAAAATTATTTCACATTATTTTCTAGCTAGCAGTAGTTAGAAAACAAGATGTTTCTAATGCACAGATATCTGCATTTACACTTATAGCATCACTACATTTTGTCACAGCCTTGATAAGTACACGAAATGACACATAAGCAGAGAAGGTTGCAAATATAAATCAGTTTCACAGATTTATTACTTTGGGAGGTATTAGAGGCATGAAATTATTAAAGTTTTCTCAATGGTTATTTAGGGAATCAATCACAGAATCACAGAATCGTTAGGATTGGAAAGGACCTCTGCAGAATATCTAGTCCAAAGTCTCTGCCAAAGCAGGGTCACCTAGAGCAGGTTACACAGGAACACATCCAGGTTGGTTCTGAATATCTGCAGAGAGGGAAACTCCACAATCTCCCTGGGCATCCTGTTCCAGTGCTCTGCCACCTTCAATATAAAGTTCTTCCCTGTGCTGAGGTGAAACTTCAGTTTATGTCCATTACTCCTTGTCCTGTCTCTGGGCACCACTGAAATGAGTCTGACACCATCCTCTTAGCACGTCACTTTGAGAGGTTTATATGCATTAATGAGATCCCCTCTCAGCCTTCTCTTCTCCAGACTAAAGAGACCCTGCTCCCACAGTCTCTCCTCATATGAGACATGCTCCAGATCCCTCATCATCGTTATTGCTCTCTGCTGGACCCTCTCCAGCAGCTTCTTGTCTTGTACTGAGGAGGCCAGAACCAGACAAAGCATTTCAGATGTGGCCTCACTGGAACCAAGTAGAGAGAGAGGATCAGCCCCCTCGACCTGCCTTGACTCTTCCTGATGCACCCCAGGACACCACTGCCTCTCCTTGGCCACAAGGGCACACTTGCCAGCTCATGGTCATCTTGTCATCCACCAATACTCCCAGGTCCTTCTTTCCAGAGCTGCTCTCTAGCAGGTCAGCCTTCAACCTGTACTGATACTGGAGTTACTCTACTCCAGGTGCAGTGCCCTACACTTGATCTTATTGCACCTCATTAGGTTTCTCCCCACCCAACTTTTCAGCCTATCAAGCTCCTGCTGAATGGCAGCACAGCCTTCAGGTGTATCAGCCACTCCCCCCAGTTTTGTGTGGCCAGCACCTTGCTGGGGGTGCATTCTATCCCTTCATCCAAGGATTCTTCATTTCTAGACTAGACTTGTAACTTACAGAGCTGTAGTAATCTCCTACGAATCTACAAAACTTACCTGGGATAGAGAACAGAGAGATACATGAAATTGAAACAAACTGGTATAACAATGTAACAGAAAATAGAATACTAGCTCAGATCTCAAAAACCAAGAATGCAAGCACTACACTTAGATACATTAGCCTCCTATTATTTTGTTTTCACTTATGTTGGTATTTAGTACAGAGCACTAAACTACAGCAGAGATATCTACTCAAAAATTCAGGTGGAAAGACACTCCCTATGTTAATCCATATGAGAGGACCTTTTTCTCAACTACACAGTATCTGGGAAAATAAAAAGAACATTTAATATAATGTTAACATTCTTACCAGTTAGCTCTTTAAAGGTAAGCTCTAATTTAACTTGTTCTGGAGTTGACCCTCCTATAAATTCAGTTTTAAATTCCATATCTGTAAATTCAAGATGAAGAATCTCCTTCTGAAGTGATTTCTTAAACCATGGTCCTCTTTCTTGATCTGACCGTAGGTCAGGTATTGGGAAGCGAACAGAGAGATTTAATGCTGGGGCAGTGACTTGAACTGAAACTCTACAGTTTGCAGGAGTATGTGAATCATCCAGAAAAACTTCAGTAAATGCTTTATGCTGAAAAACAAAGTAAATGGAAAAAAAAAAATCTAAATTAGAGAAAACTGCATTAAAAGTGACTATGGGGAAAGCTTTTTGATGATGCAATACCTAAAAAAGAAAAATATTATTTATGTATCACAGAAAACACACATTAAGGCCAGCGGCTATTAGTCTTAGAATATTTTTCTATTATTGGTGCTGTTAAGATTCTATTTAGTTAGAAGTCAAGTATTTGCAGAAGTTAGCAATCCTTTAAAAAAAGTCTATTTTCGCATCTTTCTTTTTCTCTTATAGACAGAGTACCAAACAATACTCAGCTGCAGTTAGGAAATACTGTGTCTCAGATATTTTTTTTAAAATTGTGACTGTTAAGAAGCCAGGAATTATTACCCTGTGTATTTGCCCCTTTCAGCAAGTCATGTCATCCAGCTCCTGTCACTGACATGTCCTTCAAAGCCTCCCTGAGTGTAGCATTTTGCTGACCAACACTGAAAAGAATCAAACTCTCAGGACACAACCATATTGATAGAAATGATTGATGTCTTACACATTCTTTAAATAAGGGTTCTTTTAAATAGGTTTGAAGACTGATTTTTTTGGAATCGATCGATGTAGCAATAAAATTACATGAAGATATTTGTTGCTGTGTAGTTAATTGTATTAATCGTTCCTCAAGTACTTCAAGAAAAGTAGACCAGTTTAATGTTATTGTGCTAAAACTTCTGTTGGTCCCCAGTCACTGGAATGCAAAGCATATGCTCCCTATCCTCTCTGTGACCTACCCCGAAAGCAGATAGAAAGAGGCAGAAGCAACTGGGCCGACAAAGATTTCAATACAGAAGTGTAATTGTCAGCAACAGTTTACATCAGTTGCTGGAGAGCATGATGAGAGAGTTCAGGGATGAGAAGTCAGTCAAGATTCCTCTTTTTGGCTCAGTTCTGCTTGCTTCAAGAAGCTGAGAATTTATGCAGTTTGTGAAGTATCTACCATTGTCTTTAGGTGTGTTATTAAACATGCAATCACTGAATCTAAAATGAGAACCTATGTCACATGGCTACTGTTCTGTGTCAGAAGTTAAAAAAAAAAACAACAACAAACAAAAGAACAGAACAAAAAGAAACAAAAACCCCCTCACACTAAAAAAACAACCCTCAACCACCACAAATCAATCAGAACTAGCAATCTCAGGCTTAGTGCCATCCTGCCTTCCTCCTGCAAAAAACCCAGCAAGTTTATTAATCTACCTCTCTTTTAACTTACCAGACTTATGTGCTTATTGTAAGAAGCATACATGTGAGATGCCATCATCTCCACTGTAGTTAGTTTCTGTGGCTGAAGTAAGGAATTCAATCTGTCTACAATACTAATATCCAGCTCACAAAATACTGGACTTAACTTTATTTGTAACTCTGCCTTCTGTGGTACAGAACTGAGTCTCCCTTGACTACCCTAAAAAGAAAGAGAAAAAGCAGTAAAATCTTTAACAACAACAACACAGTGAAACAAATCATAATAACTGAGAGTTAAGGACTCTCTGTTTTACAAGTTAGATAGCTTTCTGTTCAAATAAACCAAATTAGACAAAGGTTATTACACAGAAACTTGGTCTTTTAAATCTGCCACCTTACCTGAGGTCCTCTATTATCTGAATGCTTATAATGCAGCTGAAGGCATGGCACAGTATGAGAATCGTTTCTTTCTTCAGAATGAAATGTCAGCAGCTTTAGAAAAAAAAAAGTATTAAAAGTACTTAATAAATAAGGAGGAAAGAGTTGACACAGAAGAAGGTATTTAGGACATTTTACCTAGAACAGACAGTAGGTAACCCCACATTCAAGTCAGTGAACAGAACTGCTTACTCAATGCACTTACTCAGCTACTTTATTGGATGTCTCTTACCATTAAAAGAGATGGAAGAATCATCATCATGCAAAGAAACCTTTGCATTGCTCAACTCCATTGGTTAATTTTTAGAAAACATTTACTCTAATTCCCAAACTGCATTAAGCAGATTTAAAAGAAGTAAACTAGTGAAGTTTGGCTGCTTGGTGCTATTCCTGTCAGGTATGACAGCAGTCAGATTCACTATCTGAGCTCAGAATTAAAATAGAAGGTGTACCTTAAAACCATAAGATATTTAACATAGTAAAAAAAAAAAAAAAAAAAAAAAAATCAAGAAAAATTTAAATTACAACCATTTTAAAATCTAGCATTGTCAGTTATACAATTAAAATTTCTTTGCTATGGAACTCTCTCTATATTTTACATACCTCTGTATAGTGAGGCTGCTTGGAATGAAAGTCAGTAGAAAAAAGGCATTCCAGGAACTCCATATCACCAATGGATAAATCAGTACTAAAACTTCGAGAGGCAGTCCTTTGTCTTTGTTCATAAGACACTTTGATGCCAGTACCTATAAACCTAATTATTAAAATTATGAATTATGAAAAGTAGCATAAAACAATATCAAAGTCAATAAAAATAACAAAGTCAAGATTTAAATATGCAAAATAGGATCACTACAATCCTTTAAAATCATTAAAAGAACCATAATTTCTTAAAAAATATGAAAATATCTAATTATAACAGATTTTGCAACGAAGACAATGGAGCTCACTTATGTTACACATTCAGCAATGGTCAACATAGAGAAATTTGTAAAGAACATTTTAGACATCTAACCTGAGGTGCAAGTCACATAAATCTAACATCCTTAGATAGACAATGAAAAAGTCAAATGTCTCAAAGTCTAAATTGCATGCATAAGGTAAGAAAAGGTATATACACCCTTACATATTTTACTTCATACACTGTACTGGGATGGTAAAAACTTCTGCAAAAAAGGACTGTTGACTGACTTTATGATTTTGTTCACACTTATGTTTTATCTCTATTAATACACTATTTTGCACTAAGTAAACTCCTAAGCTCCTTCAAGCAGAAATCACTACAGTGGAATAAAAATAGTCCTGTAAAACACAGCTGTTTCTAAAGCAATAATTACCTTAATGATTCTTGACTCTAGACTCCTGTGGTAGAAACTGTACCTAGTTTAATCCATCTATTAAAAAGCTAGGTGATTTTAATGTTTATAATATTTTTTTTCTTAATTTAAAAAAAGTCTTGGACAACAGATGTCAAAATTCAAGACTATTTTGAAATTAATAAAGAAGTCTAATGCAATTCAAATATTAAGTGACACAATTCCTATGGAAATAAACTTAATTCAAATTTACTTAAAATATATTTTTGTTAATTATATTTATTAATAAGCAAAGTTATACCTAAGGTGATCATGAGAACAAGCTTCTGCAAATACTTCTCGGAAGGACAGAAAATCTTCTGTTGAAAACTTAACTGGCTCGATCTTTTCTATTCGGGCAAAGAAATCCCGAGCCATTGGTGTCAATGGGTTAAGGTTCAGTGAACTTTCAGGTGGGGGTAAAGGGTCAATATGAAGTACAGACACTGAGAAAGTTCCAACTGCCAGTCTAAAAAGCAGCTCAGGTCTGGATTCATCCACAGAAACAGATCTGGATGGAATAGCTGAAATACAAAATTAAGTTCACGTAATTTTTCAGCAATAACACATTTATAAAATCATCTTACTTTTGATTTTAATTTCTTTTTACCAAGTTGCTGCATAACAATTCATTTTCAGAATTATCTATCTATTGTTACTTACATGTCCTTCTTAAGGAAGTCTGGTGAACCATATTGGCTGCTAGCGAAGAACCTCTTGGAGGCTGTAACTCTTGTTTGTTACGATCAAGAAAATCACCCCAAGTTGGTTGAAGCTAGAACAAAAACATATATGACCTTAAATTTGCAAAGAGTTGTTAGATATTAGATCAAACATAAATAATAAGGTAAACACAAAACCCCAACATGTATAATCAACATCATGCCATTTCATGGGGTATTAGTGCTCAACTTATTAATGTAGATTTGCTTCACTTTGGGGTATGCTTTTTAATTCTATGATCTTCTACACCCACATATTTTTAAAGCTGAAGTTGCACTCCATGTGCTTTTTACAGAGAAATGGGAGAATATATGCTCAACTATTCTCCATGGTTTTCATTAAGCAAAACACTAGGCATATAACAAATTTAGCAAAGATGGTGATAACAACAACTTAAGCTTTTATGTTGTTTGAGGAATAATGTAATACAACAATTTTGTACTTTTTATTGTCACAGCCTGTGTAGTCTACATTGAAAGAAAACCCAGGTGGCAAACATGCAGCTATTAAAAAGAAAATGAATCACAAAGCATCCCACATAAGCTTCAAGGCATTTGAAAACACATTTCTTAGCTTAGTGGCCAAATAAATGAGAACCATTCCATTTCAATTTCCATAGCAGAAAAGGAATATTATCAGCTCTAAACACTTTCCATTGTTCTAGAATTTTTCCATAGTTCTTGATAATGTAAAGAATGCAACAGTTATGCAATGGTGTCAGACAAAACTGTTAATATTAAAAAGATTTTAAATGTAGTTAATACTATACCACTGTAGTGCTCAGTGGAGATCCTGCTGGTGTAGTTGTATATGTACTGGTTAAAGACAAATCTAGATCCATGGTTGGAGGGTCTCCAAGAGGTGGAAGGGAGGAAAGGCTGTGAGACATGTCCATTTCAGCCATTGAGAAGAAAACTTCTTCTTCTAATAAGAACCATAGATAGTAAAGAGTTATTTTCTTATGAAAAAAATCACTTTACTTTTAACAGAAATGTATTCATAAGTTTACAAATCTAACTGCTAGACAGAATAAGCAGCTAAATACATTATTTACAGAAGTTCCAAGGTTTCTTGACACTGAGACTAATAGTGTCTATGGAGAGAGATTTAAATAAAAATCAAAAGGAAAAAACCCTAATGACCACTAAAACAGTTAAACGTCTCATTTTCATGTTCAAGGTAGCATATTTTATAGAAATTCATGCACTCTCCTTTTGACAAACCAAAGTTCCCACTTTCACATTAAAAATAATTAGCAAAAAAAATTGAAATAAAAATATCAGGAAAATACAACTATTAGATGTAATTTCTATTCTAGATGTAATTTCCTTAACCATACATTTGAAAAGATGTTACACTGCATGTGTATTTGCTGTGTGCACATTAATATAAACCCAACAGTTTTAATGAAATACTGAATCAAGTCTAGCCCGATACCTAAAATAGTTAATTTTTTATTCAACTTTACAATCAATAACTTTGACATCAAATAATTGTAATGCTATTTCAGTACATAAGTTGGTAAGATTCAAAGCTGAACACTCAATTTAAACAATATTAACAACTGATTATTTGCTATGTTGCACTATCTTTTATACTTACCACGACTAGAAGGTGTTCTGGCACTCTCTGTCTCATAGAAGCTTTGTTCGGATGATGCTCCTGCAGATAAAGACTCTTTTCTTAAATAACGTTTCAACTCCATCTGAATCCGGTACTCATCCTCCTGTTGCATTGGTCGGTTCTTCCTATCTTTATTTGACAATTCTATTCTGTTTAGACTCTCTGCATTCAAAAAAAAAAGGACAGAAAGCCCACTGTAATTTCCTTAACAGTATCCCTAAGAAAATCCAAAAATTAATCTCAAAATTAACCATTGTTGTATATATATGCATCTGTAGATATATATATACAAACACATGTCTGTTGTACATCAGATGTGTATTATGTGCATTTTGTTGGTTTGAAGATTTTACCTGTCCAGAACAGACTACTCTCTCCCCAGCATTCATTAACTTCAAGTCTGAAGAAAATATTTTAAGGTCATATATGCAAGTCACATATAATATTAGCATACATTTCTCAGTCAGCTTTAGGGACTAAGGTCACAATCTCTTAAAGGTTTTACTCTTAAGGAAGTTTTAAAATTTCAGGTTTGAAGACCACACACACATGGGAAGCTATATGTAATACTTCTCCAGTTGTCCAAAAACAGTGAACAAGTCCAGCACAACAAATATATCAGTATCAGAAGAATATTAACTACCTCCCCAGAACATGGGAAATCTTTTTGAAAAGATCAACTGTCTACCCTAATAATTGTTGTTACATAAGGTAGATGGGGGAACAAACCAAAACACCCTCATCCTTCCAATGCAGTAGTTCAAACACTGCTGTTAATTCTTCACCAATATGGACAAACAGACTCAGTTACTGTCTGCTCTATGATTTCTGTGCCTGCCACTAAAGCATAGGACAAAGAAGGTAAGCTACTCTCATGAAACAGCACTACAAGAACCACAATTGGTTTGGTCTCCTGATTTTCTCCACTTAGAATTTTCTCATCTCTTGTCCTATTATATAGTACTTGTCAAGCCTTATTTGTTATTCTTTTCATTACTAGCATTTATAATTTGCAACTGAAATCAACAAATTGATCATAGCCCTAATTCAGAGCAGCTACAAAGCATTTTGCTAATATCAGATAAACATTCATAATAATTCACCACAAATACTTTTTTTCCACTACGGAAATTCATTTATCTTGCAACGTTTACTTTTTGGTCATTGCAATACATATTTAAATTTTACAGAATGTTCACTTGCCTGGTCCAGCAATAGCTGCTACCATGTCCAAAAGAAGATGCACCTGTCTTGGTGACAGAAATAGATGTACAGAGTCTATTTGTCCATCTATATCCAACTAAAAAGAAAAAGGAAGAACACTTTCAAGAACACTGAAGGAATTTTTCTGTGCAAGTCTTGAATCAAGTATTTTGATAATAGATTTTTTATGCTTTTGATGTAAATATAGCCATTCCAGCAGCATCTTCATTTTCTGCACAACACCTAGAAATTTAATTGTGTATTGCTTCCAACCTGTAGCTTGGCAGGATAAATGCAAATGCGTCACTATTAGGTTAAAATAAATACACAATCTCAGAAGAGAAAAACTCAAGAATTTCATTCATCTGCTAATTTTTTTCCTTTTAATAATTCCATAAATAAATAACTATATAATGTTAGTTATTACATACTAATTATAAAATATTGACATCAGCACCTTCTGAAATACACCTTAAAACTGTGAAGGGTCTCTTCAGGACATCTCTTCAGTATATAGATGAATAAATTCACATACTTTCTTCATGACGAGTGGGATGTTTATAGAAGTCCAGCTGTTTTGAGATGGTATGCAACAAAGCAAGCCACTTAGCTTTAGAAAGTAAATCAAACTAGAACTATCTTAAAGACTTCTATGGATTTATTTTTCAGTTCAAGAATCCTGTACTCCCAGACATTGGTCCATTCATGATCATTACTCATTGTATTGGGTGTGGCAAGGTATTGGCAGCGAGGTTTTGCTGCAGGGACAAGAGGTCAGGGTCTGCCTAGAGCTGGTTCCACCCAGACCTGTAAAGGACACACCTCAGGACACAGCTGAGCCTACCAGCAAAGCTGGTAGTGACTCCTCCAAAAGATATTTAAGGAAGGGCAAAATGCTGCATGGGCAGTGAGGAAAAAAATCAGCAAGAGAAACAATCCTACAAACACTGAGGTCAGGGAAGAAAGAGGGGAAGCAGGTGCTTCAGCTGCCAGAGCCTCTGGAAGAGATCACACCAGAGCAGAAATCTACACTGTAGCTCATGCAAGGTGCCACTCTGCAGCAGACACACGTGCCCAGGAGGAAGCCTGTGGGGAGCCCACACTGGAGCAGGTTCCTGGAGGTTCTCAGCCCATGGAGAGGAGCCCACACAGGAACAGGTTCTCATGTAAGGAACCATCGTTCATGGAGAACTCGTGTGGGAGCAGGTTTATCCCGCTGGACTGCAGCCCATGGATAGGACCCACACTAAAGCAGTTTGTGAAAGAATGCAACACGAGGGACCCATACTGCAGTAGGGGAAAAGGGTGAGGAGGAAGGAGCAGCAGAGAGGAACTGAGTTATGAACTGAGTGCAACCCCTCAATTCCCCATCCTCCCTGCACTGCTCAGGGCGATGAGGAGGTAGAGGAGTTGGGAATTATGAAGCGAAGTTAAGCCTGTGTAGAAAAACGGGTGAGGGAAAGCTAGTTTAGTTTGTTTCTCAGCATTCAACTCCATTCTACTTGGCAATAAAGTCAATTAATTTTCTCCAAGTTGAGTCTGTTGTGCCTGTGACAGTAACTGCTAAGTGCCCTCCCTGTCTTTATCTCAACCTACAAGCTTTTTCATCACGTTCTCTCCTGCTGTCCAGTTGAGAAGTGTTAGTGAGAGCAGCTGGATGGGTGCATGACAGCCAGCCAAGGTCAAGCCACCACACTCATGGGAAAAAAAACAACCAAACAAAACAGGCACCCAAATGAGTGCATTTATATGAAAATATACTTTTGCTCATAAGGACCTTAAGGAAATATTTACCTAAGCAGGGAAAATAAATGATCATTTAGTTCTGTATACTGTTCTCTATTTTTTCCATCCTTTGGAAAGAGTTGTAAGAAAATGAATACTGAAATGTGTGTACTTGACATGAAGTTACAAAGTGCACTTTGTATTTTACATGCTTGAAACGTCTGTTGTAACATAATTCAGTTTCCAAAGTAAAAAAAAAAGAGTTGAAACTAGACTAAGCAATATACTGTATCCATGTTCCTTTTAATATGCATGAACTCTACCTGATAAACCAAAAATCAGCTCCTTCAATTTTGTCATGTAGTATTACATCCATTCACTAGTTTGGTTGTTACTCTTATTTAACCTAACAGCATTTTTTACCTGTACTCAAGAACAACTTGCAGAGATCACTGCTTAGTCTTCCGTTATATTGAACATTTCGTATAAAACAAAAGTTACTCTAAACTCTGCCCTTGACATTTTTCTGCCAGCTATATTAAAATACATCTAATGATATAAAAGTGGAAAATCTTCAGCAACATCTGGATATCAATTAATTTAAGGGTGTTAACTGCATTAACTATTCATGCTTTTGAAATAGCCAGCATTTTTCTACTTCACACCAAACGAAATTTTATTTAACTTTTCAAGGCCCCTTCTTAACTGAATTAACAAGAAAAGTTAGACTAGAAATTGCTGGACATAAAAAAACCTTTTTACTCCAGTAGAAACCTTATGCTTGCTATGAAATATAGTATGGTATACAAGACAGGTCAATAGCCAGTCTTAAATTTGGAGACAAGGGGAATATATTTACACAACTTTACTTATATACTCACACTTTTTTAGGAAAATAGGGCTTTATTTTCAACTGCTTTGCTTCCTGCATCTTTATATAAAATAAATATTACATTTATATAAATATAAATTTTTAGTATTTCATTATGGCATTATTATTTGATTTACTGTAGATTTTAATATAAAAATTCACAAGCAGAAATGTTCATGTTAGTTTTATAATGCTGCAAGTCTGAAATTATTTAACTTAATTAATCATTTACAGTTTACTTGTAATTGTTGAAGAGAATGACACCCTTTTAAAATCAAAGTGATTTTAATCAATCACCAGTTACACATTCCACACATATGTAGGCAAATCAGTCATAGTGCTACAAGAAAAAAGGACAAATGAATAGTAGCAGGAGTTCCATGAAAACAAAATAATTTTCTCAGAAGTAACTCAAACACACAAATTCATAGAATGGAATCAGAGAATCATTAAGGTTGGATCATCAAGATCAACCTTCAACTGAATACCACTCTGCCCACTAAAACATATCAAAGCGCCACATCTACTTGTTTTGTTGAACACTTAAATTCAGTCTCTTTCTAACATACAGAAATTCTTCTTTAATGGATTTCAGTTTGAATATAAAGAATATACAAGAAAACTAAGTGCATTCTGTTCCCTTGAGAATCTTACAAATTTCTGGATGTAGTAGAAAAAAAAAAAAATTCTACAGAACTATTAATTTAGTTAAAGACCAGGAAAGCATGACTAACCTTAGCTCCAGGAAGTACTTCATTTTGCTTTAATGTTAGGCTCAACTCCATTCTACCAATCAGCTTACAGATCTGGACAGGGTCAGAAGGAGTAATTTCTGGCAAGTTTCTTGTTAATTGGGGATGTGGCTCATAAATGATTTTTGGATTCCAGCTAGGTGAAAGCTTTGGTTCAGTTGCCTTAAAACGTTACAGAGAAAAGAATAAGAATGTACCCCATTTCTTAAGAAAAAAAAAAAAAAAGAAGCATTTCAAATAAGCATATCACACAAATAATCATTTTACATAACTATAAATATGACAATGGCACTGAAAACACGTACTGATAACTGTGAAAAAAAAAAAGCATGTAAAATGTGAAGCCTTAGGCCTTTGCAAAAAAAGAGGAGCAAGTTTCCACAGAACAGTGAATTGTAGAGTACTTCTTAAAGTTGCAACCAGATTCCAATACAATATGTCCTAAACTTTACTCAGTCCTAAAGTCTCCATTTCCTTCCCCCTCCTCAAATCAACAGCAATTGATTATAAAACTTATCAAACATAGATTCAAGTAAAAGTTCAACTCTTGTATCCTTTAGAATTAACCTAGTATATTAGCGTAACAATATATTCTTTCATCAATTTACACCCTCATATAACGTATTTAATTTTACCAGCTGTGTAGCTGAACACACTGGGGAGGACTTTGCTGACGCAGGAAACTCGTCCCAGAAGAAAGAGACACCTGAGAGCTGCAGTAACTTGTGAGCAAAAGCCGTGGGCTGATGTACATTAATTCCAGAGCACTCATCTGCAGTTTCATCACAGTACATAGTTCTGAGAGACAAAAGAAAGGAAATAAAGATGGTGGGTGCCTACAAATTAGGCTCCTTAGCCTTTAAGTTTGTACATGTTCTCTCTCTTCAGACTATTTACAATGCCATTCACTGTCACGAATGGAAAATCCACCACTCTCTGGGAATGGGTGGAAACCTGAAATTTTCTATGGAACACCACAGGAAAATTGAGACATGCTTCCACTGCAAACATACCCCAGTGTATTATCCTAGTCCCTACATCTAATCTGATCAGAAGGTGAAGGAGTCTGCCCAATGCTTCTAAACTTATCTTTCCATTAGGACACACACAATTCTTGCTTCAGAATCTGAACTTTTTAAAACTCTGCCATCTAATACTTTTCTGTTGTCTAATAGCACTATTTGAAAGTAACATTCTGACAAAATGAAAGTTGAAAATTGAGAGAATATGCTACAATCCTGTAGAATTTCTATGATGTTGAATTTCTTATAAGAGACAGTATAAACAGTCAACTCTTAGAAGATGCAAGTCTACACATGATGGTATTTGCAGTGTAAAAATATATATACTTTTCCATAAATAAATTCTATCAAACGTCAAAACAACACATTTTTTAACAGTTTGTTTCAATATAGTTTTTAGATCACAAAAGGTTTGTTCTGGAAATGGACTTCCATTAGAAAAATAATCACAATTGATTATTAATCTTTCCTGAACTGAGCTTAACAACCTGAAGCTTTCAAATGTTTAAAACCGAATATACTTCATTAGCAACTCTCAGTAAGCATCAGTTTTATCTGGTACTGATCTCAATACTTTGCAAAAAAGTATGATTATACTCTCCTATAGGTTAAAAAAAATCTACTTTAATAATGTGTAGAGTATTCTAAGCTCAAAATAATTACAGAAGTCACATGGGCTCTTTTGAAAGCTCACAAAGGACCTAAACTCTTTCCGTTTGTTTGGGTTTTTTTCCCCAGGAGTGTACCTTTCTTTCTGAAAAGATCTGAAGTGTCTTACTCAAAAGGGTTGGTCCCTTTTCTAAACTGAAGAGATGGCCTGATTTGCCAGCAATCTACATAAAACTGTTGAACATCTAAGAAATGGTATTCATTAACTGTGGAAATTGATGAACACTTTTATTTGGGAAAATAACCCCGAACTCCTCTAATTCGATGGTTGAATAACCTTAGTGTAAAGATGTTAAGTGGAAACTGAGTGGAGAAAATGCTCCACTCAGAAGAGGTACTCAAGAGCTAATGTCTAACTGTATACTAAGAATATGTGTCATGAATGAAATGTATTCTGCAAGAAATGGCAAAAAGTGCCTTAGGAAAAAAAAATTTACAGATTAAAGAAAAAAATGTTTACCTTTCAATTCTGACTTCAAGTGCAGTTCCACTTTTAGAGTTCTCTGGCACATGTTCTATTCGCAAAACAGTATCTAAAAAGGTAACTTTCACTCTTCTTAGAACTTAAAAGATAAAACAAAGAAATACAGTGTAGGCAATTAAGTCAAGTTACTTAACAAATACTTTTGTAATTAACTATTAAACGGTCTCTCATTTTGTTTAAGTTCTCGGCCCTTATTTCAGTGGAAATAATCAATTGAATTTAACAATGTAACAAGACACCAAGAGACAATCTTAACTCCTACTAAATGTCCAATATGTACATCCATAGTGTACAACTGGTCTTTAAGGCTTGGATATTTGAGCAAGTGACAGGTCAAACCAAGTTGTTCTGTAGTTCAGTGTGGATGATCCTCAAAGAAAGTATCTGCTTCATTGTGCACCACATCTGAACTCCTAAACCTTGGGCAGCACCACACTGCTCGGACTGAATAATTCCATTTCTAGATTGAACATTTCCCTTAGCTCACACTTTTCAGCACTAAGTTCTCCAGCACATAATGTGGTCATAAGGCCTTATTTTCTTCCATTTAAAAAAAACACCTCCAACAAAAAAATAAGATTTCTGAAGTACTTCTATCAACATGGTGTGATTATGGTGGCATGATATATCATAACAGGTCAGCTTTGCATAAAAACAGCTGAAAAAATATTCTCCATTTCTCTCTCAACAGCATCACTACTAACAATCTAAGTTTGTGTGATGAATTAAACTGGTATCTCCAAAACTAAGGCATCTCACCAATCACTCAGGTGCAGATTCAGCTGGATTTATTCTGGTGAAAACAAACACCAACTTGCCCTGAAACAGGGTTCATTCTGTCCACTGAAGGAAGCATACAGATATTTTAGTAAGTAAATAGGGCATTTTTTCTCTGCTTCAAAAGCAAGATCAACTGTCCTCCCTTCCTCTTTAAATTTTACAACTAATGCTAACAAATGAAAATTTGTCAGATAAGTTATGGCAATTGAGATGCCATTTTGTAAAACCAAGACACAACATAAACCAATTTAATCTCAGATGTTAATTCAGATTTCAGTAATTAATTCATACCTGTTTCAATAGTTTCTGCAAATTTCTCAAGTCCTTCAAAAGGCTGGGACCCTTCTCCTTGTTCATCTGTCAGTTTTTGGCTAAGACACTCTTTTGCAAGCTGCATACTACTGGTCATAAAACTTGACCAATACATAGGCTCAGAACCAGATGCTGTGGAGTAAAAGAAGTCTTAATAAATTTGACTGTGAACATTATGAAACTATAAAGACAAAACAAAGTAATACATTTGGCACACCCGGGAAAGAATTTCAACAGTTTAGTGAAAAGTCATACTTAAAAACAAATTTAGTTACAATCTCTCTTTATAGACTTTACTATTTTAAAATTATTTTAATCTACTTAGATTGCATTGATAAGATTCTGGTATTTCAAAATTCAATATAAATAAGAGGAAACCAAGTAATTAACAGCGTAACCAATCTTCAGCACTGGTTTAAGTGAATAATTTCTGGAGTTCTTTTACTATATTGGTATTCTTTTGCAGGCATAATTGGCAAAATTAAATCAGTCCTATTTTTAAGAATTATTTCAAGGTTTCTTATTCCATCTGAAACATATCCTACATGAAGAAAGACTAAACAAGGTTTAAGATGTTATCTTAGCATATTAGAAAACATTTTAAATGACTAACATAGACCTGATACAGTAAGTAGAACACAATAAAATCATAGGGCATGGTAGGTATTAATCTGAACAAGTTTTCATCAGCCAGATTAATTTAATTGACAATTCATTCCTACCAGTTAACGCCAAGCCCATTGTGAGCAAATACTATAAAACTAGATTAGAAAAGTTAATCAAATTCAACTAAAACGCTCTGGTGTAGGCAGAAAAAAGTAAAACTAGCACAAATACAAACAGGTTAAACAGGCAAAACATTTCAGTCTAGCATTCAGGTCTGGAAACATCCACGAGGCTATAGATGTGTGATAAAACCAGCTCTGTGGGGGTTTTTCTACACTGTTTATTCTATTATAAAGCACAGTGCACTGAAGAGAACTAAATGGATGCAAGTGAATAAATAAAAAGTTTCCTCCTAATCCTATCATTCTCTTAAAGCAGTAATCTTACATCAGAAAGTAAGATAGCTCAAAACTGAAGTTATTTAAGGTAACTTGCAACAGATGAAAAATAGGTTTTATGCACGCTTTTCTCTTCTTCATGATACGTTTAAAGAAATATTTTATTCCATCTTCTCCACACTATAAAAAGGAAAACAAACTAAAATTCTTCAGACAACCAAGCTACAATTTTCACACATTAAGTGCTCCACACATGCTATAACAACACATCTTAGCAGAATTTATGGAGTTTTGGTGACCAGTGAAAATTTATCACTAGATCAGTTAGATTCATCTGGATACAGACAAGTCAGAAGAACTCAGCCAATCCTCTCAGCATTAGATTACATAAAGGTAAGTATTTAGAGTACTTAAAAGTCATTATTTAAGACTGTGATAGCAATTAAATTGCATTAGTTGTTCTCCAAATACACAAGAAGAGGAATCTTTTACCCTAAAGTAGCCAAAGAAAGCCAGAACCTCTCTGTAACCCCCCTTCATGGTTACTATGGTATTATCCTACTGCCAGCTACCAATGCTGACTGACAGCATTTGGCATACAACACCCAAACCCAGTAGCTAATCAAAACTCCTTTCCACACAGTATTGGAAGAGATACAACAGTAAGAGCATTTTATCATTTTAAGCTATTTAACAGAACAACAATTAATTGAGTTGACAACCAATTGATGAACACCTGAGAGTTTCTTTTTTTTATTACATTCTCTAACATTAACGTATGTAAACTAAATGGCATTTTAAATAAGGCAAAGATTGACTAAAGCAAGAGTAGCCTTTTGACTCTGAAAAACTGTAAAGAATCTCCTTTTCTAAAATGAAAAAATAAGCGTACCAAGTCTTGGTCTCGGCCTGAAGACCATCTCTAATCCTTTTACTTCTAATGCACAGTTATCCTGTAGCAATGACCCCCATGGAACAGATAAAGAAATTGATTGGATAAATCCATCTGTGACTTCCAGAGGTGCATCTGCAGACTCCAGGATCTCATTAAGACACTAGAAGAGAACAAAAAAAAAATGTTTTTAAAAATCATCTCCATAATTATGCATTCAACTAATAAAACACTTTGAGACTACCAGAAAATGAATTATACTCAGAAAGACAAAAAATGTTCACTTTCAAGTATTTCAATTCCACTGCAATTTGTTTCACATTAATTACCTAGATTTCAGCATAACACAGATTGCTCTGTGGTAGCTGTATAATCTGTATTTTTGGCTATTCAAAAAAAATATCTGCTAACTTACTCTTACAAATACTACAGTACTAACAAAAGTAAATCTATTCTTTCTTTGGCAGTACTTGAAAAAACTGAAAACAGGCTGACAGTAAAAGTACAAAAAGTACCTAAACTCCTAGTGACAGGAGTATTTCATAGCATGTATCTTCAGTGTAATGTTCATTTTTGATTTCTCTGTGACACTGGATCAATGGAACCAAACAATCACTTCCTGCTGTGTAACATACTTGCAATTTCTAAATCATATCTTTATAGTAAAATGCTACAATCAAGTTGCCCTTAGTACTGTACTAGCTCTGAAGTAGTAACTTCAGATTTTTAAATCTTCCACAATCCTCAGAAAAGACTCCCTTGTTGCATTATATAGGTTTTATTACATCCATACAGACAAAACATTCTTCTCATTTACGTTAAAAAAAAAAAAAAAGTGAATCCCTGTTTGTGCCCTGCTTCAAAAATGTAGTTAAAACTGAAATTATGGAACAAGAACTACCGAGGCTGCTTTAATGAAACAAAAAACAATCTAAATCACATACCAAATTCGGTGAGTGCAACTTTCCAATATAAACAAGACCCTACTAAAGACAGTGCTTGTAATAACAGGACATAATCTTCAAATGGCAAGAAAAAGTGTGGGTTTGACCTTCCTGTGTTGAACAAGGCTGCTGATTTTACCTGAGAAAATGCATAAATTCAACATCAAAATTTTTGGAAAAAATAAAAGTTGTTTTTAAAAGTTGTTTTCCATTTTAATCATATTTAAAATGTTCCAATTATATAGAATAACTTAAAAATAAATAAGTTTTCAGAAAATTACATTTTTCACTCATGTCTCCAGGTGCAAGTTTCCCATCATGTTAACTTGTTGCTTTGCTTATGCTTAATAACTTTGCTTTTGGAATCTTGTTTGCCTTGCATGTTCAGCTTTTCTAGTTTCTGTTCCAAAGTCCACTCAGGACAGCAGGAAAAGACATCAACTTTAAAGAAACAGAACCTGAACAGTCCTATCGCAAAATTATTTAGGAATCAAATAATCAGTTAACATTCAGTGACATAAAAACTTTATTTTCAACTCAAGTATAAAAGTTCAAATATAATTGAACTTAAACATAAGAATTACACGTGTGGTAACAGCCTGAGATAGGCAAAACCAAAATTTCAAATGAAAACTGTATTTTAAAATATCACAGGTTCATTTAAATTACTTGAACCTTTATAAAGTACTTTGCCATCGCAGGAATTAAGCTAGCTACTATATTTTGAATAAGTCTGACTGAGATGTGTTTTTACTACCAATGTACATGGTGATAAAAATAAGGATATTTTAATACATTGTTTATTATTTTAAAACAGAAATTTACTATCTATAAGCAAAAAAAAAAAATAAATGAAGCATTCTTGAGCTAAATTGCTTCATAAACAGACCAGTTGTTCCTAGAAAGCAGCAATTAGAGCATTTCAAGTGAAATTTTAAAACTGAAGCACAGCCTTCATGACAGGACTCGTTTCCACATAACTGACCAAAAGTCTCCCGCTAGAAATCACAGTAGCACTAGTAATATACAGCAAAAGTGCTATATGATGTATATTAAAATTCAACCACAAACATTATGCATTACATTTTGATTTTTCTAAACAGTCCAGGTCCCAAAAGGCAAAGGCATTACATTAATAGCCCCAGGTATTCCTACATACCTCTACAATCTATAAACACATACAATGTTGGCTAAAGTATCTACAGTGCTAAAATGAACAGAAGTATCCACAAAAATGGATACCACGTAAAAATGCAGTCATCGAGGTGATTCATTGAGCACAAGGTTACAATGACTAGGGGGAAAAAAGAGGTGTAGTACTTCCGCGACATCTGTTTTTGCAATCTGTCATACACGACAAAGTCACGTGCAGGGAACCTCAAACATGTCATTGTTTACAAGTGGAACAGAAAAATGCTGATCCACAAACGGGGAAAATCACCTAAGCATTACTGTATATTCATTTAATCACTGTGTATACGTAAAGAACTGCATATTTAGTACCGGCCCGTAACTGCTGCTGTTACAAAGTATTTACATTTTAAATAATATCACTTTGACTCGCAAAGAGTGCTCTATACCCACTAGAGGGCATAACAATTCAATTAAAGCGACCGGCCTTACTGTAAGCCTGACACAGAAAACAAGCTGCAGACACAGCTAAAAAAGAAATGAACAAACAAGCAAACAACAAACACTGGTACCATTGAGCATTTCTGCAAACGTCTGTCTCCTACCACTTTCCAACATATTTTCACACAAACAATTGGAAAAGTATTACTTGAAAACATCATAAATTCACAAGTATTTTAAAATGTACCCACCACGGCCAGTATGTAGTCTAGTAAAAATGCATTTTGGAAAAACTTAGTAAGCCAAAGTACCTAGTTCATGATCAGTGCTACCCTGGAAGTCAAGGACTGACTCACTGCAGTGCTTAAGGCTCCTCACGACAGACACTTGACTGACAGGTAGAATTCAGTAACATTGGCAATTAAACCAAGAAACTTCACAAATTATTACAAACACAGTAATCCAAAGGTCTGTGTCTACAGTACACTAGAAGTGTGCATACGTGTGCATAGGCACATACTTACACAAAAACATACGTGCCAGGACTGAAAAATAAAAGCCTCAGCCGGTTCAAAGTGTGACAGCCCATCTGCTAAACTCCAGCTAAAACCAGCTTTCCATTTGTCAACAAGTACTTTCAGTATTGCAAGACTAGGGGACAATTTTTAGAGATCTACATGGACGAAGCTCAGCATAACACGATAATTAAGAACCATGATGTCCCCAAGATGAAGAAAAAGTATAGATGCCACAGGGATTACTTCATGTTTTTACCATCTTTAGTAGCCAGCAAAAATGCTCTTCAGTAAGTACATCACTGAATTCTAGTAGTTTTGGCTACACTAACTCCTTCTCCCTGAAATACCAGCAACTATTGTCTTCTTTTAGTTTTTGTTTCCTTTCTCATATTAAAAATTACACAATCAAAGCATGGCTGGAAAAATATATCTGTAACAAATGCACAGATTTTTCTTTTTCTAAATGCTAGCACATCAGCGAAGAGTTCCCTGGATGAAATGCTAAATACGGCTATAACTTTTTACATAAAGGAGGCTGGGTATTGAAAATAAAGTGGGTGGCAGCCGGGGGCAGGGAATCAGCTGGTCCCTCAGATGCAGCAGAAGCCGAGGGGGTGAAGCGCCGGCATCTCTTACCCACTTATCCAGAGGGACCTGCGTCAAGGAGCCGGTGCCCTGGTAGAGATCCAGGCTGAGCTGTTCCAAGCTGAGCTTCTCCTGCAAGAAGTGGCCCAGGTACCTCTGCAGCAGGTACCTGCAGGCTCTCTTCTTGATGGACTCCGAGAAAGGCCACGGCATGGCGGCGGCGCGCCGGGGGCCGCAGGGCCGGGCGGCGGGACGGGGCTGGGGCCGGGCGGAGAGCAGAGGTGCGAGGGAGGCGAGCGGGAGCCGCCGGGCCCGGCCTCGCCCCTCGGCGCGGGCTACCGCGGGGGTTCCGCTTCCAGGCGGCGCCCCCGCCGCCCCTCACGGCCCGGCGGGGCGGCACTGCCCGCCCTCAGGGCGAAGAGACGCTGACAGGCGGCTCCATCCTCACTCGGAGACCGCCGCCATCTTTTCGGCGGCCGCGGGCGCGGAGGGGCCGCTGCAGCCGCGCTGCGCGGAGCGGGGAAGGGGCCGCGGTCCGGCGGCCGGACGGGCAGCGCCCTCCGTGTCAGCTCTGCGCCGCCGGCAAGGGCGGCCGGGCCGATCGGGGCTGTTTGTCTCCTGCCGCCCGGCTCCCCCCGCCGCCAGCGGCTCCGTGACGTGCGGGAAGTGGCGTCGGGAGCGGAGGAGGCGGGGGCGGAAGCAGCCGCGGAGGGGGTGGCGGGGCCGGGGGAGTCGCGCCGGCAGTGGCGCCGGGGCCGCCTGTGCGGGGAGCGGCCCGGGGAGCGGCGGAGCGGGCGCTGTGCTACGCGGGGCGGGGCGGAGTGGAGCGGAGCGGAGCGGCGCGGAGGGTGCGTCCGGAGCCTGCGGGCCTCAGCCGCCCGCCGGCGCTGGTGGGTGCGCTCCGGGGCGCGGTCCGTGGGCGCGGGAGGCTGCGCGGCTCGGTGTACAGCTCCCCTGTTGCTTTCAGCCTCTTGGGAATTTGTTTGTAGGTCCGAGGTGGGGTTTGGGAGGAAGTGATGGATCTAGTGGAGTGACTGTCTGACGTGTTGCGGATCGGTGATTGGCAGCCCCCGTTCCCTCCTGGCTGCAGGGCTCAGCTACCAGAGCTCTCAGGACAGCGTCCCAAGGGGCTCTTTCCCTGCTGCTTCAGGCAGGTTCCCTACGGGTGTCCGCTGAGGCCTCACGGCCACACTGGTACCCGAGAGGCCACTGCGGTAACCGCTGGGTCTGACCCTTCTTGGTATCGCTTGCCCACAAAGAGCAGAAGCTCATGTCTCTGAAATGTATCGACAGCTGTGCATAAAAGATGACCAAGAGCATTAGTCTTTAGTGACTGTAAACAAAAAGCTCCCGTTAATGTCTTTTTAGTCACTGATAACCCATTTAGGTCACAGACTTTTTAAAGTCTTCCTTAAATTCACCAGCAGTAGGTTTTTATTTTCTACTGCTATTGATTTCAGTTTTTTGAGCCATGACTTGTCTTCCTCCTGCATTCTGGATCAGCAAAGGGCAGAATTAATGACTGCTGAATCATAACACTCTTATACAACAGAATGCGGGTTAACTTGCCTAAGAAAAACTAACTTCAGAGAAACTGATATCACTTCTATATGCTCATGTAACCTTCTTCAGCACTTGTCCTCAACGTCTTGGTTTTGAATTCTCTAGGCTGTCATTGAGATTTCATATGTCTGCTTAAAATGTATCTTCTGTTTTATGGCCTAAATATATATTGAGTGTAATGGTGTAATAAATCTCAAATAAATGTTTCCATATGCAGAATGGAGACTGATTGCAATCCTATGGAGTTGCCCAATAATACAGGATTTGAAGAGGATTCTGATTATACAGACTTTGAAGGAACAGAAGTGAAAGATATGAGGCTTGAAGCTGAAGCTGTTGTGAATGATGTTTTGTTCGCAGTCAGCAACATGTTTGTCTCAAAAACCCTTCCCTGTGCAGAGGATGTGGCATATATCAATGTGGAAACCAGAGAAAGGAACAGGTACTGCTTGGAGCTCACTGAAGCAGGACTCAGGGTAAACTAATTTATTTATAATTTCTTAAGCTTTGTTTTGAACAATGAACATGTTCAAAAGGTGCCTAGAAAAATACTTCCCTGACACCAAAAAAGCATACATATTGCTCTTATACTTTTATGAAGCCTGTTCTACATGTTTTCTCCTAGAAGAGAGTACTTTAACTAGTTACTTCCAACAAAGCAAGAAGGGGTATTAATGAATGACCAGGCATTTATTTGAGACACTAAATGATGAAGATTGAAGCAGAAATTTATTATAGTTGTGTCAATCTTTGATTTTCTTGGGTACCCAAAGCAGTCAATAATGCAGCATCTATACAATTCCTTTTTGCACCATTTATATTTTTTGTGCAAACATGTGGACGCGAGACTTCTTTTCAAAAACCATAATGATATATTTTGCTAATATTCTGAATTTTGGACAAAAGTTATTTGAAATTGTCTTAGATGCTGTATTACTATTAAGCTCCATAGTAGAAAGCACAGACTGCGATTTAAATCCGGTATCTCTTGTTCTCACATTACTGTACTACCCTGACTGGCAAAGTTAAATGTTGTGATACTAGTTGCAAGGTGATCATAACCACAGAAATTTAACTACCCATTTCTTTGTTGCAGGTAGTAGCTTATGATTTTGATCAGACTGATGACAGACTGCAAACTCCATACCATGAAACTGTCTACTCCTTATTGGACTCTCTCAGCCCTGCATATCGAGAGGTGTTTGGAAATGCATTACTACAAAGACTAGAAGCTTTGAAGAAAGAAAGTCAGTCATGATTTACTCACTTATGAGGAAGGTTTAGTGCCAGAAAGAATTCTTGGTATGAAGCACTTAGGTCTTCCTTACAGACATCTTAAGCTTCATTTCTTACATTAAGGTCTAATTCATACTAGTATATTATTATATAACATCTATATGTTATAACAAGTATACTATATAACATTTTGCTACCGTGGATTTGCATATGTCACAATACTATTAAAAGCTACTTTGATAAATAACATAAAAAATTCTCAATTTTACTTTTAGTTGTAAGTGAGCAAGTAAGTTGCATCTTACGACGTTCAAAAACTTTGGTCTTTTCAAGGTGTTACTGTTCAAAACTAAAAAAAAATAGAGACTGAATGTTATATATACAAGTAGTAATTCTTTGTGTGTGTGCTTACTGAAAATTTTCATATCTGCTTTTTAAAATAGAAGCTTACTACTTGCTGTACCTAATTAATGAAAAAATAGTTGGGAAAACTACTGTTCTGCAAAGAGTTTCAGCTTGATTTGCTGTACATAAATCTGAAAATTCTCAGCTTTGGTAACAAGAAAGATAGTTCTTTAACAGTTGAGCGTTGCTTATATAGTGGCAGTATCTGAGTTAAAAGCAAGGCTCAGCATGAATTGATCTGCCCTTGTCTATGGCAACCGGCAAGCTCCAAATAATACACGAGATATACTACTAATATATGAATGTATTTTCTGAATCACAAATGATTAAGCACAGAATTAATGGGCTACACATTTCCTAAAGATGATGTTATATATGCTATATATATGTACATGTATGCTATATTGCATCTATTTGGGAGGCTTGGAAGGCATTTTAGCCTGTTTACTATTTTGAATGTGTGTTTACATGATGTACAGGATATACCCAAGAATATTTTTGCTTCAGCCTTTACTTTCTATAATACGGTACTTTGGTACTCCCAGTTTTCACATTTTCTCCCTCAATTGTACAGCGTCCTCTCCTAATGAATACTAAGTAAGCACCGTAATGATGATTGCATTGTATTGGTTTGAAACCAAAGGCTGTATGAAATTTGCTAAGACTAATACAAACTGAAAGATATAACTTGTATTTTCTACTTAAAAACCGGTACACTTCTCTTTATAAATCTATTGTTCTGCTATAACTTTTCAAGTACATACTGAATCGTAGACTTTTTAAAAATTACAATTGGGTAGAAATGCCTGTGCAGTTGAAATGATGTTCTGTGACCTTCATACTTTTTGTATTCTTCTATTATTCCATATTTGTGTATCTTTATTTAAACAATCCTGCTGTTATTCTTCTATGCTTTTATGACAAGTAAATGCAGTAGCTTTTTTGGAGCCACATTTAGGGGTATATCAGTTCTCACAGATTCCAGTGACTTCAGTAGAGCTATATTGACTTCTACCTGCTATGAGTTAGTCATATGGATCAGAGAATCCTAGTAGACCTTTTGTAATGGCTTTGGGTTAGCGATGTACAACTGTGACTGAAAAGACAACTGTAATTTTTGCTTCTGTTTTCAAGAGCTTAATTTCGTGATTATTATCTTTTTGTGTTGAAACTTCTGATACTCATCCTCTGCCCTAGGGTATGCTTTCCTGCTCCAAAAATTGTTCATAGGCTCTTTTTTGCACACAGGTCTGTGGCACGTGGTTAGTCCTCTGTGAGGAGAATGTACTTTAGCAAATTTATATTTGAATATTTTTCCTTGCAACTAATTTACTTGTTCAATTTCAATGACTAAAGAATTAAACAAATGCACCAGTGTGTTGTAGTTTTCTTGTGGGGGGTGGAGCTACTGGAAAGGGAGGAGTGAACAGCTGAAGTCATCATGCCCTTAGAAAAATCTTAAATATCAAATAGTTGTCAAATATTTGAAAAACATTGGCTGCAAACTTGTATCTGCTGAAATTTTGTCCTGAAAAAACAAGGTAGGTGATTGTAAAGAGATTTGGAAAGGGAGTTAGAAATCCAAGTGGAAAAACGCCAAACTAAATGTTGCATTGCTAAGTTTTGTTTTGGAGGTTTTTTCTGGGGAAGGTTGACGTCTTTAGACTGCTTTGTTATTTTGTGTGCTTTTTATAAACATAATACTTTCAAAACAGGCATTTTGTAGGTGTTAACAGAAGAAACTTGTGTGGTTTCTTAAAATGCGTTGCAGTGTTAACCCAGAAGTGGGACAGCCATGTCATTCCACCGTGTCTGGGTTACTGAAGATGACTGAAAAGGCTTTTTTGTCCCTGTCCTTGGGCGCTGCTGCCTCTGTGGAGGGAGCTCCCCTCAGCCCGCTGTCTCCACTGCCCGGGCCCCTCAGTCGGTGTCACTGCGCAGCCGCCGCCGGTTGCGCGGCAACGGGCCGCGTCCCCGGGGCGATGGCGGCGGGGCCGGCTCAGGGCCGCCGCATCTTCCTCAACCACCTCGACTCCTACTGCGGCCGCACCATCGGCGAGGTGACCGCGAGGCCGGCCCGCCACTGCTCCTGGCCGCGGCTTCTTGGTGCCTGAGGAGTCCACTGCCCTCCCGCCCGCCCTCGGCCGGTAGCGCGGCAGGGAGCCGCGGCTGGTCCCCGAGGAGCTCGACCGGGCGGGCATCTGGGTCACCCAAAATAGCTGCTGAGGAGAGGGACCGGGGCAAGAAGGGGTTAAGATAACGAGGATTAAAAATAGTCGTTAAGAGTGGGAGGTGTGAGCAGAGCCGGTCGGGAGAGCTCAGGCAGCAGCTGGTCACTGCTGGGGGAGATAACTAGAGATGACTAACAACCCTCTGAGGGAGCCTCTGCCTGAGAGGAGCCGGGTGCGGAGCAGAGGCATCCAGGGACTCGCCAGCACCTTCGGCATTGAGGCGTAGGACACAAGTGAAAACAAAACATTGCAGC